TCGCTTGCTCTTATATTATTTGAACGATATTAGCATTGTCTTTTATCACTCGCTGCGCTGGCTTAGTATTTTGGTCTGTACCAAATTTTGAAAAAGACACAGTATCACTCAAGTTTAGTGTAATCTTGTAATGCCAATACAGTTGACTTCATTAGTTTATTTCTTTTGAATGCCAAATTTGCCTCATCTGTTCAAGTTACTTTGTGATTCATTTCCCTAGGTTCAGGAAAAATCAAGTCTTGAAGTGGCTTTGGTAGGAGGGTGTAATCCAGTAATCAAGCTCTGTAGCCGTTACACAATCCTAGAAAAGCCATCATTTATTAGATTTTTTATTTTTTTTTATTGTTAACTTCCTATCAGAGCTAGCAATTCTCCCTTGGACGGTCAAGTTATGTCCTTAAGTATTTTACTTCGGATCTGCTCTTAGATCTTTCACTAGCCTCCAGCCTATGGAGGGGTCAGTTTTGTTTGTTTTTTTTGTTTTTTTTAACTATAGAACTATTGCCTCTGTTTCTGTTATCTTACTCTCTTCCCTTGGTCTGGGACTAATCGAGGCGCAGTAGAGGGAGGGTGCTGGGCTGCTGCTCCTTTCTCCCTGCTTCTATTTTTCTGCTTGTTGTGTATCAATAGCTGATTTATCAGTTCATCAAGTTGCTCTTTCTCAAGTGTAGGTTTAAACCCATATCTTTTCTGCCATTTTTCTAGGTATTTCCTGCTACCTGGAAACTCTTTTTCCATGTGTTTAACCAACTCCTTCTGTTTTTTTGAGTACTGCTTTTTCGTCCATGTTAGTTTCGACTATGTGCCGTCGTGAGTACAAATGAAGGATGTACAACAGTTTTTTGTATAACAACTGTTCAAGCAAGCTTCTACTCTTTTTACGGAGTGGCTTGAACCTGGGTGTATATCTCTCTAAGATCCTTAAACTACACACTTATATTTAATAGTTACCTTCATCAAGGTAGATTTTCAAAAAACTTGCAGTAAAAAGTTAATTTTTAATTGATGCAACGTAATTTGGGTCAATTCACCTGGAAGACTGAGGGCCAAGAAAAATTGGTCTGGGGGCCACATTTGGCCCACGGGCCATAGTTTGGACATGCCTGCAGTAGACAATAGTTTTACAATAGTTTTCAATAGTTTCCTCAGTGTCACAAATCAATCCTGTGTGATGTAGTGTGTGTACAAGCACGAGGCAGGTTTTGTGTGTGTGTGTGTGTGTGTGTGTGTGTGTGTGTGTGTGAACCGTTCTATATGTACATGATTGATCTGTACTTGACTGGACTCACTCAGACACATTGTACAGGATCAATGCTGCAGTGTCCTACACATGACCCTCCTGTGAAAACAAAAGTACATGTGTTTATTTTTCATTCACATCATGATTTATCAGATATTTAAATGCAAATCATGATGTTACATTTTGATAAAGTAGACATATTGTGCTGGTGTCTGCTCTATAGTTATAATCTATCACACCCTTGGATCATGATGTTATAATCTGCACATTTTAACTCACAATATGTGTCTAAAACAGGGGTCTTCAACGTTTTTCAGGTCCAAACTGATGAAGAGCTGGAGTGGGGTCCCCTATGATATATCTGTCATACAACTGTGTTTTGTATTCAACTGGGCCTAGTGTCGTGTATAAACAGCTGCTCTGTTATTGTATGTTCAATACTCGGGGGTGTCCCATCGAAGGGTCTTAACAAATTCAGATTTATCCTGAAATCCTGAGCTCAGACTTACTCCATCTCCAGTTTAAGCCCCAACTCGTTCCATGACAGAAAAAAGCCTGAGTGTGTCGTTGCTCTGTTGCTCTGGTCTTCTCAGAGTCACCACAAGCATAAAGTGCAGCTTAAACTTCAGGCTTGAATTATCTTTGGCAGACTCAGGTTTATTTCTGACTAACCAGGACCTGAGCCTGGAGGTGAACATCTGAAGTTCAAAACAGTTTAAAAACACAATCTTTCAGCACACTTTTACCTCAGTGCAATTTCACATTTCACAATCAGACACTCCCACATTCAAACCCACATACCTGTACACACACAATGCAGTATTCACAGGTGGGTGCAGTTTTGGTTTGTTTTTAACCCTCTCAGGCTCAGATAAATTTTTAGTATCAGGAAAAATCTGATATTTGGGGAAAATTATAATATGGGGTAGTAATATACAATTCTGACTTTTTTATTCTTTGTAAACAAAAAAAGTATTTTGCACTTCTGGCAGGCCGTTTGCGTGGAGCCATTCTTGCACAGTCTGCATTGCCCACGTTTATCAGCATGGATGGGAAAAAAAGCTCCTGAATAAAAAAAAAAAGCTCACATAATATGGATGTGGAGTAAGTAGGTACTTGGAATGCAAATCTGCAACGCCTGCCTGGAGAGGGTTAACCAGGACCTGAGCCTGGAGGTAAACAGCTGAAGTTACGTGCTTCAGTTCAGGTGGCAGTCCACATGTAGTTCTGCTGGGGGTGCTTCTGGTGACTGCTGCTTGTTTATTTCTGATATAATACAACTGACCTGTAGAATGTGGTGATGTCTTGGCCCACAGAGGTCATTATAAAGGTTCAAATCTAAAGTTAAAAGTCCAGAGACACAGACAGAACATGTAAACTCCACTCTGAGAGGCCCAGATGGCAGCGTGCTTCAGAATGTCATTCTTTAGCTGCGGCGTCGCCTTGAATTCGTAATCACGCTCTTTCTCTCCTCTTTGTCTTTGGTCAAATGGCAGCCCCCTCTCCCACCCTCTCGCTCTCTTTCTCTGTCCATCTCTACTCCCCCTTCCTCTCTCCCCCTCTGTCTCTCCTTCCTCTCTTTCCCTCCCTCCCCTCTCTCTCTCCTCCCTTTCTGGCTCCTCTCTTGCTCCTTCTCTCGTCTCCCCGCCTCTCTCCCACTCTCTCATCCCCTCTCTCCTCTCTCTCTCCTCACTCACCTTCCCTCTCTTCTCCTCTCTCTTTCCCTCTCCCCCCTTTCTCTCTTACTCTCTCTCTTCTCCCTCTCCCCCCCTCTTTCGCTCTCCCTCTCTCTTCCTCTCTCTCTCTCTCTTTATCTCCTCTCTCCCTCTCTCTCTCTCTCCCCCCTCTTTCGGTCTCCCTCTCTCTAACACTCTCTCTTCTCTCTCTCTCCCTCTCTCTCTCTCTCTCTCCCTCTGCCCCCCTTTTTCGCTCTCCCTCTCTCTTCCTCTCTCTCTCTCTTTCTCTCTCCCTCTCTCCTCTCCCTCTTTCGCTCTCCCTCTCTGTAACTCTCTCTCTTCTCCCTCTCCCCCCCTTTCTCTCTTCCTCTCTCTCTCTCTTTCTCTCTCCCTCACTCTTTATCTCCTCTCTCTTTCTCTCTTCCTCTCTCTCTCTCTTTCTCTCTCCCTCACTCTTTATCTCCTCTCTCTTTCTCTCCTCTCTCCCTCTCTCTCTCTCTCTCTCTTTCTCCCTCTCTCTCTCTCTCTCCCTCTCTCTCTCTTCTTTGTTCTGTATTGTCCTGTGTTCTTCAGTCTTTCCGCCTCACTTCATCCCTCGCTCGGGGCTGTGGCAGCGTCCACTCATCCTCTGGACTTCACGTCCTTTATTCTGTGACCTATAAAATCCAAGCGGGTTCATTCTTAATGCATCTTCATTGATACGTTTCAGTGGCATCACAAAGTTTATCAGCTGTTACACAACTGAAACTACACTTTGTCATTTAGCACAACACCTGCATGATTGAAAGAGACATTTTAAATCGTACTTCAGAACATTCTACATGGAGACAGAAAAGTTGAATGCCGAACATTGTGGAACATTATAGCCAAAGGAACAACATTTCCATGGAAGCAAGTTTCTGTCGACAGAGCTTATCGACCATCAGTTTCTCTGGATTCTAAACAATCAGTTGATCTGTTATCTGCGATGGTAATGCTGACAGGAACTAGCATGCTAACACACACTTCTCTCTGACAATAAAATGCTGTACACCAACAGCACACAGTGGACTTATTCTGACCTCAGGAAATGATTCTACATCAAATCTGCACTGGGACACACACATTTGTCTCACACACAAAACCAGGTACAGAGACTTTAAAGGACACATGTTTGACATTTGACAAATGGATGTTTTGGTCCTTCAATGTGCATCCCTCGTGCATTTGACCCATCTGTCCCTCGTGCATTTGACCCATCTGTCCCTCGTGCATTTGACCCATCTGTCCCTCGTGCATTTGACCCATCTGTCCCTCATGCATTTGACCCATCTGTCCCTCATGCATTTGACTCACCTGTCCCTCGTGCATTTGACCCATCTGTCCCTCGTGCATTTGACCCATCTGTCCCTCGTGCATTTGACCCATCTGTCCCTCGTGCATTTGACCCATCTGTCCCTCGTGCATTTGACCCATCTGTCCTCGTGCATTTGACCCATCTGTCCTCGTGCATTTGACCCTGTCCCTCGTGCATTTGACCTATCTGTCCCTCGTGCATTTGACCCATCTGTCCCTCATGCATTTGACCCATCTGTCCCTCATGCATTTGACCCATCTGTCCCTCATGCATTTGACCCATCTGTCCCTCATGCATTTGACCCATCTGTCCCTCATGCATTTGACCCATCTGTCCCTCGTGCATTTGACCTATCTGTCCCTCGTGCATTTGACCCATCTGTCCCTCATGCATTTGACCCAACTGTCCCTCATGCATTTGACCCATCTGTCCCTCATGCATTTGACCCATCTGTCCCTCATGCATTTGACTCACCTGTCCCTCGTGCATTTGACCCACCTGTCCCTCATGCATTTGACCCACCTGTCCCTCGTGCATTTGACTCACCTGTCCCTCGTGCATTTGACCCACCTGTCCCTCGTGCATTTGACCCAGCTGTCCCTCGTGCATTTTACTCACCTGTCCCTCGTGCATTTGACCCACCTGTCCCTCGTGCATTTGACCCACCTGTCCCTCGTGCATTTGACTCACCTGTCCCTCGTGCATTTGACTCACCTGTCCCTTGTGCATTTGACCCACTTGTGCTCAGATCCCAGGCGCTGCGATGGATCGCGTGAGCCCCCTCTGGAGGATGAGGAGGAGAGCGCGGAGGGGGGCGCTGTGCATGGGCTTCTTCTGCATTTCCATGGCGCTGCTGTACGTCCTGTGCGCGGAGAACAGCGTCCCCGTGACTGATGCCATCTTTGGGGTGAAGGCGCGGACCAGGGCACAGCCGCGCACCCACACTGACACCAAGGTCAGTCATTATTTACATTCATACCATTAAAGCTTCTAGAATACACAACACTGACTCTTGAGCTTTTAGCCATGTTAGAATGTTGTTTGCTCCTCAAAATGTTTGAGTAACTCTTTATTATTAGTCTGTCTCCAAAGTTCAAAAGGCTCTGCTGTAACAGAATGATCCACGTGTCAGATTATACCGATAGAACCGACAGAAACACTCACAAAGTTGAACCTGGTAATTTCTATTAGTGACCAGACCCAAGAACTCACTGCATTACAATACAAATCCACATTTGTGCCCCCATTGATATTACATTTTATTTATTTGTTATTGGATGTGTTTATTTGACAGGGACAGCACAGTCATACATAGTTGTAATGGCATAATTCTCAGCTCCTGTCCCTGGTCGGGCTTTGCCTACAATAAACAGTTCAAAACAGTTTAAAAACACAATCTTTCAGCACACTTTAACCTCAGTGCAATTTCACATTTCACAATCACACACATGCTTCTGGTGACTGTTGCTTGTTTAATTCTTATATAACACGACTGGCCTGTAGAATGTGGTGATGTCTTGGCCCGCAGAAGTATTCCATCCATCCATCCATTTTCTTCCGCTTATCCAAGGTCGGGTCGCGGGGGCAACAGTCTGAGGAGGGCCTCCCAGACTTCCCTCTCCACACACACGTCCTCCGGCTCTTCCAGGGGGATCCCGAGACGTTCCCAGGCCAGCCCAGAGACATAGTCCCTCCAACGTGTCCTGGGTCTTCCCCGGGGCCTCCTCCCAGTGGAACATGCCCAGAACACCTCCCGAGGGAGGCGTCCAGGAGGCATCCGGAACAGATGCCCGAGCCACCTCAACTGGCTCCTCTCAACGTGGAGGAGCAGCGGCTCTACTCCAAGCTCCTCCCGTGTGACTGAGCTCCTCACCCTATCTCTAAGGGAGCGCCCAGCCACCCTGCGGAGGAAACTCATTTCGACCGCTTGTATCCGCGATCTTGTCCTTTCGGTCATTACCCAGAGCTCATGACCATAGGTGAGAGTAGGAACGTAGATTGACCGGTAAATTAAGAGCTTCGCCTTTCGGCTCAGCTCCCTCTTCACCACAACAGTCCGATACAGCGGCCGCATCACTGCCGACGCTGCACCGATCCGCCTGTCAATCTCACGTTCCATCCTCTCCTCACTCGTGAACAAGACCCCGAGATACTTGAACTCCTCCACTTGAGGCAAGGACTCTCCACCCACCCGGAGAGGGCAAGCCACCTTTTTCCGGTCGAGAACCATGGCCTCGGATTTGGAGGAGCTGATCTTCATCCCAGCCGCTTCACACTCGGCTGCAAAACGCCCCAGTGCACACTGCAGGTCCTGGTTTGATGGAGCCATCAGGACAACATCATCTGCGAACAGCAGAGATGAGATCTTGTGGTCCCCAAACCGGACCCCCTCCGGCCCCTGACTGCGCCTAGAAATTCTGTCCATAAACACAATGAACAGAACCGGTGACAAAGGGCAGCCCTGGCGGAGTCCAACATGCACCGGGAACAGGCCTGACTTACTGCTGGCAATGCGAACACAGCTCCTGCTCCGGTCATACAGGGACCGGACAGCCCTTAGCAAAGGGCCTCGGACCCCATACTCCCAGAGCACCCCCCACAGGACACCACGAGGGACACAGTCGAATGCCTTCTCCAAGTCCACAAAGCACACGTGGACTGGTTGGGCAAACTCCCACGAACCCTCGAGCACCCGATGGAGAGTGTAGAGCTGGTCCAGTGTTCCACGGCCAGGACGAAAACCACACTGCTCCTCCTGAATCCGAGGTTCGACTATCGGCCGGATTCTCCTCTCCAGTACCTTACCGGGAAGGCTGAGGAGTGTGATTCCCCTGTAATTGGAACACACCCTCCGGTCCCCCTTCTTATACAGAGGGACCACCACCCCGGTTTGCCAGTCCAGAGATACTGTCCCCAACCGCCACGCGATGTTGCAGAGGCATGTCAGCCAAGACAGCCCCACAACATCCAGAGACTCCAGGTACTCAGGACGGGTCTCATCCAACCCCGGAGCCTTGCCACCAAGGAGCTTGCCAACCACCTCAGTGACTTCAGCCAGGGTGATAGATGAGTCCACCTCTGAGTCTCCAGCCTCTGCTTCCTCCTCGGAAGACGTGACGGTGGGATTGAGGAGATCCTCAAAGTATTCCTTCCACCGCCCGACAACATCCCCAGTCGAGGCCAACAGCTCTCCCCCCGCACTGTAAACAGTATTGGTGAAGAACTGCTTCCCCCTCCTGAGGCGCCGGACGGTTTGCCAGAATTTCTTTGAGGCCGTCCGATAGTTCTCCTCCATGGCCTCCCCGAACTCCTCCCAGCTAAGAGTTTTTGCCTCTGCGACCACACGGGCTGCAGCACGCTTGGCCCGCCGGTACCTGTCAGCTGCCTCAGGAGTCCCATGAGCCAACAAGGCCCGATAGGACTCCTTCTTCAGCCTGACGGCATCCCTTACTTCCGGTGTCCACCACCGGGTTCGGGGATTGCCGCCGCAACAGGCACCACAGACTACGAGCAGCTGCATTGACAATGGAGTCTGAGAACATAGCCCACTTGGACTCCATGTCTCCAGCCTCCCCCGGAATCCGGGAGAAGTCCTCCCGGAGGTGTGAGTTGAAGGTCCCTCTGACAGAGGCTCCACCAGACGTTCCCAACAGACCCTCACTACACGCTTGGGCCTGCCAGGTCCCTCCGGCTTCCTCCTTCGCCAGCGAACCCAACTGACAACCAGGTGGTGATCGGTTGACAACTCAGCCCCTCTCTTCACCCGAGTGTCCAAGACACGTGGCCGGAGGTCAGATGACACGACTACAAAGTCAATCATCGACCTCCGACCTAGGGTGTCCTGGTGCCACATGGTGCACTTATGGACACCCTTGTGCTCGAACATGGTGTTTGTTATGGACAAACTGTGACTAGCACAGAAGTCCAATAACAAAACACCGCTCGGGTTCAGATCGGGGAGGCCGTTCCTCCCGATCACCCCTCTCCAGGTGTCACTGGCGTTGCCCACGTGGGCGTTGAAGTCCCCCAGTAGAACAACGGAGTCCCCGGTCGGTGCACTGTCCAGTACCCCTCCCAGGGACTACAAGAAGGCCGGGTACTCAGCACTGCTGTTCGGCCCATAGGCCGACACCACAGTGAGAGACCTGTCCCCGACCTGAAGGCGCAGGGACGCGACCCTCTCGTTCACCGGGGTAAACTCCAACACGTGGCGGCTGAGCTGTGGGGCTATAAACAAGCCCACACCAGCTCACCGCCGCTCCCTGTGGGCAACGCCAGAGAAATGGAGGGTCCAACCCCCTTCAAGAAGTTGGGTACCAGAGCCCAAGCTGTGCGTAGAAGTGAGCCCGACTATATCTAGCCGGTATCTCTCAACCTCCCGCACAAGCTCAGGCTCCTTCCCCCCCAGCGAGGTGACATTCCACGTCGCCACAGCCAGATGCTGTGTGTGCGGACCAGGCCGTCAGGACACCCGTTCCCGACCGCCGCCCAGTCCTCTATGCACCCAACCCCTATGAACCCCTCTGCGGGTGGTGAGCCCACAGGAGGGTGGACCCACGTCGTCCTTTCGGGCTGAGCCCGGCCGGGCCCCGTGGGCAAAGGCCCGGCCACCAGGTGCTCGCATTCGAGCCCCAACCCCAGGCCTGGCTCCAGGGTGGGGCCCCGGCTGCGCCATACCAGGCGACGTCAGGGTCCTCGATATTAAACTGTTCATATGGGTTCTATGAATTGCTCTTAGTCTGCCCCGTCACCTAGGACTTGTTTGCCATGGGAGACCCTACCAGGGGCGTGAAGCCCCGGGCAACATAGCTCCTAGGATCATTCGGGTACACAAACTCCCCCACCACGGTAAGGTGGCAGTTCGGGGGGGAGCCCGCCCGCAGAAGTAATTATAAAGAAATCATAGAAGCTGCATAAAGGTGACTCACGTGCGACTTGAGCAACAGCAAAAGAAGTAGGAGATGTGTTCATTGCTGGCAGTAAGTCAGACCTGTTCTCGGTGCATGTTGGACTCTGCCAGGGCTCCCCTGTCACCGGTTCTGTTCATTGTTTTTATGGATAGAATTTCTAGGTGCAGTCAGAGACCAGAGGGGTCTGGTTTGGTTACCACAGGATCTCATCTCCGCTCTCTTAGAGATAGGGTGAGGAGCTCAGTCACACAGTAGGAGCTCAGAGTAGAGCCGCTGCTCCCTCGGGAGGTGTTCCGGGCATGTTCCACCAGAAGGACATCCAGGAGGGACTATGTCTCTGCGCTGGGAACGCCTCAGGGTCTCACCAGAGGAGCTGGAGGACGTGTCTGGGGTGAAGGAAGTCTGGGAGTCCCTGCTTAGGCTGCTGCCCCCGCGACCCGACCCCGGATAAACGGAAGAAAATGGATGGATGGAAAAATCAAATCTAGGAAAACTTGATAATCCTTCAGTTACAACAATTTACTGCTCCCAAGCAGTCAGTATATGTAAATATATGTAACCCAGTTAAGACAACAAAATAAATGATGTCAGTCCTGATCATTCATAACTTGGTCAAATCTGTTTTGACAGACAAATGAACTGACTTAACTTCATTAAAGTGTAGTAAATGTCAGAGGCTACTTATGATGAATGCCTCCTTCCTTCCTTAACATAAAAAATCTAAACCATCTCTGTTGTATTAAAGATATACACAGCTCTGTCATTTCTGTGGTGCCTCAAAGCTAACAGCTACTGTAGTCAAAACTGTAAAACAAAAAATAACTAACCTATTAAAACTCAAATTAAAGACTACTCGATTTTTTTAATATGTAGAATACTTCAGTATGTAGCGTCAAAATGATCATTACATCACCGGACAAGAGAGCACCTCTGGAGATACGCTTCACTATAACTGAATTACTGATTATATTATGATTTATATTATATTATATTTTATTATATTATGCTGGATGAAAAAATGAATTTCCTTTGGGATAAATAAAGTAGTATTTATCTATCCATCTATTAGTGTGTCAGTGACATCCACCTACAGCTCCCTGTTCACTAGTGTTGTTGTCAAGACTGCAATAATTGAGACCAAGACCTGTCTGAGACCACGGGGTCCTGAGACCAGGACAAGATCAAGACCTCTGAGGGTCAAGACCGAGACAAGACCAAGACTTTTAAAGGCCGAGACCGAGAAAAGACCGAGACCATGGACCAAATCAAGACCATCTTTGTCATTTCTACTTTTATTTGTATTTTACATTTTGGCACAAGTATGTCAATATATTTATTAGGGGTGGGACATTAACACATTAACTATGATTGCTCAGTGCACCATGTCGTGGTACAACAATTATACTGACGCACACAGTTCCAACTACACCAAAGGAGCATGAACGCACTCTGGGTCTGCCAGACGGGACATTCTATTAATAAAATGACTCGAAGTATTAACACAGATGTCGTTTATTTAAAACTGTGCAGAAAAGACTTTGCATATCACAGAAGCCCCTCACCCCTATGTAGCCAATAATGCAAAACATGTCACAGTGAGTAGAGAACCCGCTGGAGCTGTGGGCGAGAGTAGTCCTGCTCTGAGTACAAACAAGAGGCGTCAGCCCAAACTCCGCATGACGGCCCTCAGGAAGAAACTGAGTGCACTAAAATTTATTTACATAAAATAAATGTTACTTTTGGGGCAAATATTGTTCTGCAATTAATTGAGATTAATTAATTACAATGCCTGTAATTCATTAGATCAATTTTTTTAATCAAGTCCCACCCGTAGTTTTTATAAATCTATCTCCATTTTACCTGATTAATGTTCATTTAGCTGTACTGCACTTAAACACTCTGTGCCCCTTTTTTGGACCCTCACCCACAGTTTGAGAACCCTTTCTTTAAAAGAACTGTGAAGAAAGTGGGTAGGATTTTTAAACCTGTTTGTTCCTATAGTTCCAAATTGGAGTCACATTCTCTTCCTGGTTTTGCAGTGGGATTTACCTCTGCACATTTACCAAACACACATGGGACAAATACACATGCATTTGTGCACTTTTATGAGGAAAAGACATGTGGACTTACAGCACGGACCTGTAAGTCTATGCTGTAGGTCGGTGCTGTAGGTCGGTGCTGTAGGTCAGTGTTGTAGGTCAGGTGTTGTAGGTCGGTGTTGTAGGTCGGTGCTGTAGGTCGGTGTTGTAGGTCGGTGCTGTAGGTCAGTGTTGTAGGTCGGTGTTGTAGGTCGGTGTTGTAGGTCGGTGCGGTGGTTGGGGTTGTAGGTCGGTGTTGTAGGTCGGTGTTGTAGGTCGTTGGTCGGTGTCTGTAGGTCGGTGCTGTAGGTCGGTGTTGTAGGTCGGTGTTGTAGGTCGGTGTTGTAGGTCGGTGCTGTAGGTCAGTGTTGTAGGTCGGTGTTGTAGGTCGGTGTTGTAGGTCGGTGTTGTAGGTCGGTGTTGTAGGTCAGTGTTGTAGGTCGGTGCTGTAGGTCAGTGTTGTAGGTCGGTGTTGTAGGTCGGTGTTGTAGGTTGGTGCTGTAGGTTGTAGGTTGTAGGTTGGTGCTGTAGGTTGGGGTTGTAGGTCGGTGTTGTAGGTCGGTGTTGTAGGTTGGTGCTGTAGGTGTTGTAGGTTGGGTTTGTAGGTTGGTGCTGTAGGTTGGGGTTGTAGGTCGGTGGGTTTGTAGGTCGGTGTTGTAGGTGTGGTGCTGTAGGTTGGGGTTGTAGGTCGGTGTTGTAGGTCTGTAGGTGTTGTAGGTCGGTGTTGTAGGTCGGTGTTGTAGGTCGGTGCTGTGTAGGTTGGGGTTGTAGGTCGGTGTTGTAGGTCGGTGCTGTAGGGTGGGGTTGTAGGTCGGTGTTGTAGGTTCGGTGTTGTAGGTCGGTGCTGTAGGTTGGGGTTGTAGGTCGGTGTTGTAGGTCGGTGTTGTAGGTCGTTGTAGGTCGGTGTGTAGTGTAGGTCGGTGTTGTAGGTCGGTGTTGTAGGTCGGTGTTGTAGGTCGGTGCTGTAGGTTGGGGTTGTAGGTCGGTGTTGTAGGTCGGTGTTGTAGGTCGGTGCTGTAGGTTGGGGTTGTAGGTCGGTGTTGTAGGTCGGTGCTGTAGGTTGGGGTTGTAGGTCGGTGTTGTAGGTCTGCTTTGTCCTAACACTAACATAAATTTGGATTTGTTTTTGCTTGGTGGGAGCCTGTGTGTGCTTGTACGCCGGAAGGAGCGAGGGCGTGAAAAAGTGAGGAGTGGCACGTTGACGTGAGGCAGGTGGACAGGTAGGATGTTTTAAAAAGTTGAAACTGAAGTATGATCGTACTCGTCAAGTGTCAGACCTGGAGTACTGTACATGACAAAAGCGAGTCTAAGCGCCTTCAAGACCTATGGAGTATTACGACAGTACTGTTCACTGCATTATCTTTAAATATTTATTCATTTTAGCATGACTCAGCAAAAAAAACATAGGACAGGATGTGGTGACAGTGAGGTTGCTGGGCACATACATCTTCTTTAAAGGGCTCACAGTACATTACATTGCTATTTTCTGATCTATGTTATATTGTTTCCTCGTCACAAACACACCTGGAGTTGTGTTTTGTTTCATTCACATATTTAACACACTAACCCTGCAGATTTAGCACGTTCTTTTTCTCTCAAACAAGAAAACACTCAGAAAACACACCTTTCACTAGAATCATTTGGAATCAAGTTCAGCCTTGGAATTGCCCAATAAACACTGAACTATACTGTAGATAAAAGGAGCTGTTGAGTTGAAAATGACCACTTCATGACATCACAACATTTTGAGACAGACCAGTAATAAAAGGTTACTCAAACATGTGTGAATGAAACAAAGCACAAGTTATAACATGGTTTAAAACTCACAAGAGTACATTTTGTGTGATATTTGACCTTTGGATAAAATGGCCACAGCCGCTGATGATCTACACATTCAAATCCGTCTTGTTGTTTATAGGAGTTGCGAGGTGGATCCAAACCAGTGTACATCAACAAACCAATCCCTGTGCTGTCAGCTCTAAACCACACCCACCAAGAAGCGCCCGCCTCCATACACCGGCAGAAGGATCACGTGAGCGCCGGCTTCTTCACGCGCATGTTCCCGCGCCCTTTGACCCGCGCCCTGGAGACCCTGTTTGGAGGCAGGCGCAGGGGCGAGCTGAGCGGCAGGACCACAGACGAGTTCTATGGACCTAACGCTCTTCTTGGACAGGTCTGGGATGAGGACATGTCCAGCAGCATGTTGTCCTCAAGGCTCAAGAAAGTAGTGCAGAACTTCCAGGTAAAAACAATGGAAAAGTACAGTTTTATAGGAGCTATTGTGCAAAATGTTTATTTTCCATTTTTTAAGATTTTTTTTTAGCTTTCTGTTCTGTCATCAAAAACATCCCTGAAAAGGTTTTCAATGTCATCCAGCCATGTTTGAGTAATCAATTCTCCATAAATGTCCAAAAACATGATATAAAACTGTAAACCGCAACTTGACAAACCTGATGTGATGTGCAGTATAGTATAGTATATTATATAGTATAGTACTTTCAGCTGCTGATAGTGTTGTGGTAGTGCTCCAAAGGGGGAGTGCCTTAGTGCAGACAGCAAAGGGAGGGGAGACTCTGAGCATCAACAATGCAAGTGAAACTTATATGTTAATACATTGTTTTCAGCGAATATTGCATTTTCAAAACAATAAAAGGTAACATGGTGATCTGAACATCGAAAGTAACATCATTTGATTTAAGATTTTCCCAGACATCTGGCCTAGTTTTTTCTAATTTTGTAATTTCTGTGTTATAGAACTTCTAATTTTACTTCATGGGTGGACACAGACAGCAGATGTGACATATGTAGAGGTAATTCTATAGTTGTTACCAAACAACGTAAACAAGGGCCAAAACGTTGTCTGTGTAATCCCTCAGTGGGTAGTCAGGTACGATCCATCATTATTTAAGCTGCTTCTTCAGTTCTGCTGGACAAAGCTCTGAAGTACAACTACAAACTGAAACTTTAAACAAGTAGGTGTTAGTTTCACAGTAGTTTCAGCTCCTCCCTTCAGGCAGATGTAAGGCAGTGTGGATGAGCCGCGAAAGGTCTTCACTCTAAACACTTTTGTCCAATTGACAGAATTTCATTTTTCTTTTGCAAGGGCCAAAACTTCACACTGGTTATGATTACTAGTAGACTAATACAAATGAATGAGAACACCTTTATTTTGTCAAGTGAAAGTTGCATTTTGTATGTATTTTGGATGGAGTTTTCAGTGGTGATGACATAGGCAGACGGGATTCTGTTTTTGAACTCTGTGTTACTTGTCTTTTTTACTTTTTGCCCAAACTATCACTGATATAAAACTGTAATAAATGTTTACCACAAGCACTATCCCACCAAACCATGTACGAGGCTCTTCTTTGTCTCCTCAGGCCATGAATAAGTATGGAGTGGACCCCCAGAGTCATGAGGGCGCCCCCTCTGGTGTGAAGCTGACGGGACCCCAGCTGCTCTGTCAGGTCTGAATGACCATCATTGAGCGTTATATATAAATATACATACAATATTTAAGATGGATAACACTTTGGAATTTAACAGTCTCTGCTATCCATGGTTTTCAGAATGATGGAAAAGTAGGAGCGTTGCCATAGAAATTAACATTTTAAAACTAAATCTTTCAAATTCAATCATTGTGACAAGTTCTCAAATGTCACCTATCAGGAAGCTGAAAACCATAAATAAAACATCGGTTGTATTAACCTATCTTGGAATTCACTCATTTGGTCACATAGTAGGACTGCAAGATTTCAAGATTTTTTGCCTTTATTTAATCAGGGGCTCACACTGAGATTCAGATTCTCTTTGTCAAGAGAGACATGGTCAAGGCTGCAGCAACACACTCAACACAGAACAGTCAAATCACAAAGTATCACATTAGAAAAGCATTTGCATGTCTCAAGAAAAACACACACTTCTCAGTCACTGCACTTTTTATAGTTTCCTTGAACTTGTCAAGTGACATCATAGATTCCAATTTAAGATCTTTCTGTAAATGATTCTAAGAGCATGGAGCTGTAGGAAAGGCTGATTTTCTAGATCAGTGAAGTACCAGAGCAACTGTGAGGAAAAACAAAGCCGGTAACCTGATCTGATGTTAAGGAGATTATTAAGGTAACCAGAAAGTTTTCCAGGTTTGGCTCTGTAAATAAATTATTAATCACAGTTGAATTGAAATTGGAATGACTTAGACTTTAGCCTTTGACCTCAAGGGAAAATCCTTTCACATACATACAGAGCTCATTTGACTTTTATGGACATAAAATGAACAAGTCTCAAAGGCTGCAAAGAATGAATGAACATGTTCTGAAATGTGATTCTTGTATTACTTAGTCAGTTCATATTTCAGGACGTGTTTAAAATGTGAAACTAAATCCTATTATTAAAACATAAAACTAATTGCGATGCTTGTTTGAAGATGAGAATCAGATATTTTGATTCCATGATATTTTCACATAACTTAAGTGAAATAATAACAATAGAAGTGACTTGGAGTTACATTTGCAGTTGTAGAGTAACCTTTGTCCTGTCCTCAGCTGAAAGAGCAGGTGGAGGTGTCCACTCTGACCCAGGAGCTCCAGCCCTTCTCCTCTTTGCCCTGGGCGTCACAGCTGCCGACCCGGAGCATCACAGCCGAAGTGGGACCATATAAGACGTGCGCCGTGGTGTCCTCCGCAGGCTCCATGAAGAACTCCAGACTGGGCAAAGAGATCGGTGAGAGCTCACACATCCACACTACAGTTTTTACAGTCAGACTGTAAGAAGTGAACTTAGTGATTGCAACATCACACACAGCATTCAGCTTCAGTCAAATGAAGCTCATCAAGGCTGGAAGTTATCAGGGCAAATTTAGAAAAGTTTCATGTTTCGACTTACAGCAAGCAACCAAAGAGTCAATCTGGTGAGAGGCCGTTGACGGTAATGCCCCTTCCCACTTGCACTGCTGGTTTGGCAGGGAGGTCTTAGCAATGCTGTTTTTCAATTAGTGTTCCACAGTCGATGGAGCCAAATAAATGGCCATGCTCACGTCCTATTTGGAACTCTGACCTGTTTCTAATTCTCTCTGCATGACCGATTTCTCCACTTATTATATGGTTTGGTGGGATAGAATCTGATGTAAACATTCATCATAGTTTCACATCAGTTAAGTGTCCATTTGTGAAGAAAAGAAAAACACAAAAAGTTGTAAAATCATTTTTTTTTTTTTCTTCATTTTTTTCATTTGCCAAATTGACTACTGTACTGTCATAGTTCTGGTCTTTATTAATCACATTTTGTCGAGAAGCTTTCAGTAGTGGTCATCTGGACTTTTTGTGTCCAAGAGGTTTTGGAAAGTAAACATTTTACTTTGACGGAGTATTGAGAATTTTCCATAGTATCAAAACTGAGTTTGAAATTTTAGAATGACAACGCTAGTGTGGACGATGTAATTTAAGAATTAAATGGGCACTCTGTAACTTACCTTTATTATTTTTGCTTTGCCATTCCGCAGTATTGCTTTAAATCCAGCCTGATATGTCTGTATTTTTATATAGAGAGACGCTAAAACAATAGTTTCAACTTAAAAGAAAGGCAAACCCAGAGTTGAAATGGCCAGACTGATTCTGGTGAAGGCGTATGGAGTTTTAACTACATCTCATTGATCATACTCTGAGGTCACTAAGTTTTACAGTGGAACCTGCCAAAGTTTAACTCCTGACATCATCATGAGTCATTATGCCCCTGTTGTGTGCTGGCGTCTCACCTTTATCACTGTTAAGTACCTGCTTTGCACTTTGTCCACAGGTTCAATATGCTTCTGTCAACAGCTGGTAGATTGTACAGAGGAGACACGCAGGCCCTGTCCATATCTGCTGTAACAAAGAATAAACCTTTGTTTGTATTCCAAAACTCACCAGGCTTCGCAAATGGATAATTATTTATCATCAAGAGATCCTTTTTTTTTTTTTTATAACATTGGTGGTTTGAGTCCTGCTCTCAACATAAACATCAATGACACACTGACCAGTAGCTCTTATGGACATTGGAACATCCCACAGCCACAGGGGGAAGATGACGCTTTAAAGCAACACCAACTTCCAAAATGGGCAATAAACAAAGGAAAATAACGGGTCAGAGAGAAAGACCTGGAACCAGAAAAACAAAGATAAAACTGAAAAAAAGAACGCAGGCTTGGTAACATTAACGCACATCAGGGGCATAACAGAAAAAGTGCAGAGGGCAATGAGAAAACACAATATCAACACACCAATGAAACCAGTCTTGGGCCATCAGGGCCTGCAAGTCCTTCTCTGCTGGGCTAAAAAATATCTGAATCACAGACTGATGTTAATTATATTAATTTTAAATAATTCCAAATGGTCTGTCCTCTTCCTTTTAGAGCTTTTCCGATGCTTGTGCTGCTTCCACACATGTATTTTCATATTAAAGTATTTGACCAATCACATTTCAGTCGTCATTTGTTGCCAGGCAGAGTCAAAGTCAAAGAAATCTGACTGCTTTGCAATCCATTCTGCAGGCCCTCCAACACAAAATTGGTTGTTGGTGTCACCAGGGCCTTCTGGAAGTGAACGACGTCACCAGATTCAGAGCCGTTGATTGGACAGTCAGAGAGCGAACTAGTCAAAGCAGCAAACTGTGTCTGCAGCGGGCTACGCAAATTTAAATTATTATTACTATTTATTACTATTATTAATTACCAGTGGTGTAGTGTGGATTTTTTAAGTGCGGGTATGTGATCCCTGACTGAACCAGAAGGACTAAACCAGGACTGAACCAGGATTAAACCAGGTCTAAACCAGGAGGACTAAACAAGGTTTAAACCAGGACTAAACTAAGACTAAACCATGACTAATCTTGGACATGAGAGAGAGAGAGCGAGAGGGAGAACCCCGAGTCCGCAGAGCAGGGTGTCTGCAAAGCGTGATCGGGTGACAGCTGCCCTGCAGCAGGGTGCGGAGCTTTAGTCCAGGTTCAGTCCTTGTTTTAATCCTGGTCCCTCATGTCACAGGTCTCTATAGGACAGTACTGGAGATATCAGTGTTTCTCACAGCACTTTATAGTTAAAGCGGCTTGACAACAAGTGGCCCTCGCCTAGACTTAGTCCATCCAAACCATGTGAAGGTCTAGGTGTGAAATGCAGAGTCCACCACTGAGTGAAACTGAACTGTACAGGAAACTCAGGCAAGTACTTGTCTACCCAAAAGAGAAAATAGAACATAGATAAAATAGATGAACAGAGCATAAATGTAATGTCATATGCAAAATTTACATCAGGGAAACAGGGAGGACGTTCAAAAAAGGAACATAGGACAGAACGCGATAAGGAAACATCCATCCATCCATTTTCTTCCGCTTATCCGGGGCTGGGTCGCAGGGGCAGCAGTCTAAGCAGGGACTCCCAGACTTCCTTCACCCCAGACACGTCCTCCAGCTCCTCCGGGGGGACCCCGAGGTGTTCCCAAGAACCACGACCTCGGACCTGAAAGAGCTGATCCTCATCCCAGCCACTTCACACTCAGCTCACAAACCGCCCCAGTGCACATTGCAGGTCCTGGTCTTTTGAGCCAACAGAACAATATCACCTGCGAACAGCAGAGATGAGATCCTGTGGTCCCCAAATCGAACAGCCCTTAGCAAATGGCCCCGGACCCCATACTCCCAGAGCACCCCCCACAAGACACCACAAGGGACACGGTCGAATGCCTTCTCCAAGTCCATAAAGCACATGTGGACTGGTTGGGCAAACTCACATGAACCCTCGAGCACCCGATGGAGAGTGTAGAGTTGGTCCAGTGTTCCACAGCCACAACCACATTGCCCCTCCCGGATCCGAGGTTCGACTATCAGCCGGTTTCTCCTCTCCAGCACCCTGGAATAGACCTTACCAGGGAGCCAGAAGTGTGATTCCCCTGTAGTTAGAACACACCCTACAGAGGGACCACCACCCCAGTTTGCCAGTCCAGAGGTACTGTTCCCGACCGCCACGCGATGTTGAAGGGGAGTGTCAGCCAAGACCCACAACATCCAGAGACTTAAGATACTCAGGACGGATCTCACCCACCCCTGGAGTCTTGGCACCAAGAAGCTTGCCAACCACCTCATTGACTTCAGCCAGGGTGATGGATGAGTCCGCCTCCGAGTCCCTAGCCTCGGCCTCCTGCTCGGAAGATGTGACGGTGGGATTGAGGAGATCCTCAAAGTTTTCTTTCCACCGCCGGACAACGTCCCCAGTCAAGATCAACAGCTCTTCCCCCGCACTGTAAACAGTGTTGGTGAAGAACTGCTTCCTCCTCCTGAGGCGCCGGATTTCGGATTCAGTTTGCTCGAATTTGCAACATCATGAGACTCTGAGGAAGAGCACAGGGAGCAGAACAAACTGTCACGTACAAAAACAAACTCTTGGTCTGAAAAAAGAACCTAATAACATATAAACATCATTGTTTGAGCGATCAGATCCACTGACTCACAATTTGGTGGTGTGATCCTGTAGGTAAATGTCGTGTTTGTGTCTTTGGGCAAAACACTTTACCTGTATAAAAAGTTGACCATTTGCCACTCTTCTGTCTTCAGGTTTGTCAGCAAAGATTTTACATCGACAGTTCTGAACAGATGCTTCTCCTGCTGTTTTGTGTATTATCGTTATGCTACTTCTTCTTTTTCTGAATTATTAATAAATGCTGCATTTTCAGTTTTACTTCTCAGTTTGGTGTAAGTGCTGAAGCACATCGACATTAGAGAGAAAAGAGAAATATGAATTATAATCCAGTCAAAGCATCAAATTTCAGGTTTTAACCATAGGATTAGCAGCTTTTATGTAGAATTAGACTCAATAGACACACGGGGAGGGCATCTGACACACTGGGACATTTCAGAACATGTTTGTAGGGATCCAATCTACAGGGCTTGCAGCTTTTACATGGAATAAAACAGGATATTTTGTTGTTTGCAAATGAAATTATGTGAACTAAATTACTGCAGTCTTTGCAATTTGATACTTGCGACCCTTCACAATAATTTGTGAATAAAACTTCACTATGTAACTTTTCAGGTGGATGGTCCGTCATCTGCTTGTCTCCATGGAGATTGCTTTGTACATTCTACAGTATGGCATTAAACTTTACTATCTCCATAGAGACAAGCAGGTGACACAACCAGGCCAAGTTCATAGGTCTGATCTGTGAAGAGGCAAGTAAGAATACATGTTTATGTAAAATAATCCATAGTGTAGAACATTCCAGACAAAGTAAGAAGTTACACAGTCCAGCTTTAAAGGACCGATCTGTGTTATAATGTCGTTAACGCATCACAAACAGACCTGCAGTTGTTGTTGTTTCGTTCACACATGTTTAACACACAAACTCTGCAGATTTAGGCTGAAAAACTCTGTTCCACCTTGTGATGTCATGTGGTAATATGGGAAGTGCTCTGCTATGTTTTTAAACTCCATACATCAGCCCTGGAATTGCCAATCTCTACAGAACCAAAGTTAAAGGGTAACTTTTAACTTGAAAACTACCGCTTCGTGACATCACAAGGTGGAACAGAACATTTTGAGCTTTGAAGATGTAGACAGAATGAAAGACATTCAGAATGAAACAAAACACAACTCCAGGTCTGTTTTTGAGGACGTAACATGATTCTAACAAGGCTTAAAGCTCTCAACAGTCCATTTTTTGTAATATAGGAGCTTTAATTTTGCAGCTCTATTCTGAATCTTGTTTTTGTCGTTTGGGTCTAGATTCTCATGATGCTGTGCTGCGGTTCAACGCTGCGCCGACCGCAGGATTTGAAAACGATGTGGGCTCAAAAACCACTTTGCGCCTCATCAACTCTCAGGTAAAACCATGTCTACAAACCTGACCACATTACAGTCAGAGTCATGCTTACGAGCAGGTAACCTGCTCTTTTGTATTTCACTAGTGATGTGATGTTTGAGAACAGGCCAGCTCTTTGGAACACTTCCTTATCTCATTTTTTAAAAGAACAAAATCTTTTTCTTTTCACATTATTATGATGATTAACACACATGAGACAACACAAGACAGCACAGAAGCAACACAAGATACACAACACATTTGGCAATAGTTCATTTTTAACAAATAATTCTTACTATAGAACAAAGTTTTATTTAGAATTTCATAATTTCAAAGGGTAAACACACCCTCGGTTTCAGCTTAAGCCATTTTAAACAAATTTTAGTCTTTTCATTTAATTTCTCTGTGATTAATTTGTAGTTAAATAAGTTTTCACATTGGGTTCTGTCATGTAAATAAATAGTAAAAGAGCCAGTCTTTTGAACAGTTCTTTGACACAAACAGATCCAAAAGATACGGATCAAACAAAAGAGCCGAAAGTCCCATCACCACATGTGACAGTGAGGAGAGCAGTACTAGTACATGGCATTAATATCATGAAATAAACATATAGTGTAGTCTATTGCAGGGTTTCAGATGACATCACAACTTTCTATAGGCCAATATTACTTAATACAAATGGGGGCAGCTAAAATTAATATTATTCAAATGTAAAATTATGTTGCTGTACAGTTCTTAGGGTTTAGTCAATAATTGAAAATACCAGGTTCAACAATTGTGAATTTACCTTTTGGATATTTCATGACAAAGTACAAGTTAATCAGAATGGAAATCTGCTCTCTCCCCCTGAAAACCACCAATAGTTTTAAGCATGTAGCAATAGTCTGTCGCTCTAAATTAAATGTATTTTTCGGACTATAATGTGCATTATAAAGTGCAATATCAATAATGTTGCATTCTCTCATCTATTTTCATATTGCACCAGATTATAAAGTGCATTAAGCCAAACAAACAGACGATGGCATCCATTGGCAGATCATGGATCATTTAAGTTTTGTTTTTTTTCTACGAGGAGGACTCAAATATACATTGAGTAATAATGTGTTTAATGCAGCTTTGTGCACATTTATTTACGTTTTACAGAAACAAATCTTAAAACCACATGAGTAATTTGTATAAACTATAATCACTGAAAAAACAGCTCCCTCGTTGTGTCCTGATGCGTCAGCTTCTGTTGGTCTTACTCCGAGAGGCTCCTGACTACAGCAGCTCTGACAATCCATCAAGTGGTGTGGCTTCATAACTTACCAAAGTCATACAAAATTATTTTAATAGATTTTGAGTACCATGTATCACATAAAATCAATTTGAGGTCGGTAAGCACAACCAGAATGAATACATAAGGCACCGGATTATAAGGAGCACTGATGATTTTTGAGAAAGGAGGAAAGGATTTTAAGTGCGCCTTATAGCCCGAAAAATACAGTACTCAGAGTTATTACTGCATGGTTGTGTATTTGTGTATTTGTCCTGCATTTGAGACTTGAGTGTTCAGAAAATCTCTGTTTTCACCTACCCCCTATCCCCAACTTGTAATTATCAAAAAAAAGAAAAAAAGACATATACATCATATCATATCAGCTGTGTAAAGAAATGGACTGAGGGAGTGTGATGGAACCCACAGCTTCCAGCTCCAGTCAAATGAAGCTCACTGAGGTCTGCAGTTATAGGAATGCATTTGGAGCCGAGTTCCATATTAGGAATAGGAAGTGATGTACAATAAAAACCATGTCATGTAGAACAGGTTAATATGAACATTTTAAGACCAAAATGATAAGTCTGCAGTAGCAGTTCCAGAGAGAGAGAAATAGAGTCGATGAAGCGCGCCCATGCTCACTTCCTATTTTTACAGAATAGGAAGTGAACAAATATATCGTACTTTTCAAACCTACTATTTTGAAACTGCACTAGAAGTGAACCAGGGCTGAACTAGGGATAAAAGAAGACAAATAACTGAGCTAAACAAGAACCGAGTTTTCTGTTAATACTATTATCTAGTCTAGTATTACCCACCTTCCTACACCTTCATTATTGGTGTTAAATAAAAATACATGTTCATTTCATATTCATCCATGATAATATAGTGTGGAAAGGTTTATTCATAATGTGTTTGAGCAGAAAGTGTCTTGCCCCAGTGCTGATAGATTGTATTTGTATTTTGAGGTCAAAATAAATCTGTTGTATACAGTCTGCATCTAATTATAAAGCAGCTGATAATCAGGATGTGTGGGTTAGCATGCTAGTTGTGGTAAGCTTTACTGTGATAGTGGTTGTGAAAAGCTTTTATAAACTCATCTCGGTGAATAATTAGGATGCTCTGAATGCTTGTGAGGAAGGACTTTGGAACTGTTTCTAATGAACTAATTCTGTTTTTCATGTTTTTAAGACAGTAAAAATCATACACAGCATTTTGTCACATTATATGGATGATTTTTGTGTGAGTTCAGCTCTTGTTGCAGTCATAAACAGTATTTTATTATAGATGATATGTTCATTTGGACTCCTCCAAAACAACGGCTGTTATTGTGTCCTTGGGCAACACACCTGCCTCTATAAATCGCCCGTCAGTTTACACAGAGCAGCTGTGGTTCAGATGTTTTTCACCAGTGAGACTGAAACATGTAAAAGACTATTTCTGTTATGATTTTACTGTATGTGATGCTGTGCAGTGGTGTGGATTCAAATCATGTGCGAAACATGCAAACACTGAAACTAGATCCTCATTTGAGCTGGTATCAATACTAATGCTACTAATACTAACATTTTATCAGAACAATAAGTGTCAGAGCACATAGACTAGTACACACACATGGACCAACATGAACCTACTGCACCTCTGACCATTACACACATATAACACACACGGAAACAGAAAAGAAAATACTACCATTTAATGTTGAAAATCACATTCTATTGTCCAAAGAGCGTGTTTTGTTTTTTTGTTTTGTTTTGTTTTGTTTTTGTTTTTTTAATTATCATTGTGGTATCAGAATCGGTATTGGGTACTGTTATAGAAGTTTTCAGCTTGTCCAAGAAAGGGAGGAAGTAAAAGGCTGGAGACCAATGTGCACCTCTTAAACAGGAGAAGTTTATTTACCATGAATAATACGGCCACAGTGGGATGATAAGTCGACATAGTACGATTTCAAAAGTGAACGGAGTGTGAACTTGGAGGGTTCAAGCTCCTTGACTCTGCTTTCAGCGAGTGTGCTAAGACTATGAAGGTCAGTAGACACCGGTTAGACAGAAACATGCCATAATTTAGATAATGGTGTGCCAAAGGTATGCCAAGGGAAGATCATGGTGTAAATACAGGTCTTGTGAATCAACATTAAAGTGAGAGATGTACATGGAGGATAAATGACTTAAATTCTCATACAGGTATCAAGTCTATTCCTTATTATCAAAATTTTGTATTTTTAGTTCACCACAGTGGATGGTGTAACTGTAACCACTTTTCTTTATTGATTTACCTGAAATATTTTGCAGTATTGCATTAAACTCAGGGTTGGTACAGAGTTCCCACAGTCATGGAAGTCCTGGAAAAGCTGTGAAAAATGTCATTTTTCAGGTCTGGAAATATGGAATGTTGATAAGTCCAGTCTGATATCTGTGTAATTTAATATAGAGAAAAAGCTGAAGTGGTCAAAATGATTCTAGTGAAGGTGCATGGATTTTAAAAATACAATGCACTTCCTGTATCACCACTTAAGGAGTATTTTCTGTTTTAGAGAAGACAGAATTTGTGGTATGATTTTGACGAAGAAACCACATTATAACAAAGCACAGACACACAGGTGTAATATTTGACATTTACATCCACTTCCCCTTTACTTTGTCAGTGAGTGGATAAAATGGGACACTTGTGTAATTGAATGTGACATGTTGAAAGTGTGGTTTGAATATTTAATAAAGAGGATCTGTGTTTGCACTAAAAATGGTATTGTTTAATTTAGATACAAGGAGAAAATGTAGAAATCTGGTTTAAAGACAATGCGTTTTGACTAGAGCCCTGTAGTTGTAGTTCCTGATACTGAGAGCATTTTAGTTTAATTATAAAGGTGCAGTACGTCACTTATCTGGCGGTGGGTGTGTGGGGATAAACGATAACAGACATCACTATTGTACGCTTTGATTCACTGTAAACACACACAATTCATGAAAAACGGCTTTTACTACTTCAGTGTATTTTTGTAGAAAAGGGCCCACCACCTGCTTGTCTACATGTGAAGCATTACACACACGCACGCACACACACACACACACACACACACGCGCGCACACACACAGCATAGTTTTCCATTATTACTATTCCTGTTGGTCCAAAATATCTTGAAAACATACATTTTTGTGTTTGTGTCAAACATGTGTTTTTGAGCGATTGAAACACTCCTAATGAATAAATTAGGGTTCCCACAGTCCTGGAAAAGTCATGGAAATTTAAAATGTAATTTTCTAGGCCTGGAAAAGTCATGGAATTTTGTAAATTGAATGAAAGGTTTGGAAAAGTCATGGAATTTTTGTCTCCCTTTCACACAACTCCAGTGTTCTGTTTAGTTCCCATTAGACTATTCTGATTATTTGTGAACGTCTGTGTCTTTTGTTTAAAAGAGACGACAATAAATGCACTGACAGGATTCTGAATGTTCAAAGACTATAATCCCAAACCATAAAGTGAGTGGGAAGAGTTCACATTTCAGATTTAACCCTAAAATCTGATCAGTTCTACACATGTAGGTGCTGTAAAGTCATGGAAAATTCACTTCATGAAAAAGTCATGGAAAAGTTTTGAAATTTGGTCAGTGAAAAGAGTGGGAACCCTGATAAATGCTAGATAGAAATGTTTAAAGTCATACCCTGGAACATTCCAGGCAAAGCAATAACATCTCCATGGAGACAAGCAGATGACCCTCCACCAGAAAGGTTGCGCAGTGCATCTTTAAGGTCACCTGTTGTCTGTCAGATCCTTCTGTACAGCCTTTATATGCATGTTCTGACTGTTTCTGAGTAAAAGTTCACGTCCTTGAGGAACACCTGACACCTTTACAGTCTGGTGCTCTCTTTCTGCCCCAGTGAAGCTCCAGTCCTCACCTGACTTCTACAAGACTAAACCTGACTCTGATCTGGCCCGGTGGAGGGTCTGTTCCTGCTTGTTTCCATGGAAATGTTGATGCTTTTGGTTACGATATTCCACAGTATGTTCTCCACGGGGAACATTCTGAATGATGGTTTTAATGTTCGGAATTATGCAGGTGATGAGCCAACTCCAGAAAGTTACACACTGTACCTTTAAGTTTGAAAAGCAAATAAACAAAACACATTCTGTTCTAAACTGCAAAGCCAACTCTGCGGCTGGCCTGTAGTTTTTCAGTGTAACAGCAGCGCACTTTAATTTATTTATGATTTTTATTTATGTTTATGCTACATAATACATTTTTAACCACAAGTGTCTCAGCCAAAAGAGGTACTTTTCTGTAACTTCCTCCTTCTTCTCTTGAGCAATGTGGTTTTGAACACTGGTTTAAACTTTGTTTTTTTTTATTTGTTTGCTTCTTTGATTGTTTAAATACTGAACTGAATGCTTATCTCAAATAAATAAAATAAATACAAATAAAAAAGGACTGAACAAACAGGCATGGATCAGTCTAAATACAACTGAGTAAGAGAATGAGGAAATTACACTGTATATATATATATATATATATATATATATATATATATATATATATATATATATATATATATATATATATATATATAAAAAGCCCCTACATGGAGCAAACCACCAGAACATAACTGAAGTGGCTAGTATCAAGAAATCCTACCAATGGCTTCAGAGGACTGGTCTGAAGGACACACAGAGGCACTGATCCTGGAGTACAGGAGCAGGCCCTGAGCACCCGGGCAGTAGAGGCCCGGATCTACCACACCAGACCAGACCCACGGTGTAGACTGTGCAAAGAGGCTCCTGAGACAGTCCAGCACATAACTGCAGGTGTAAGATGCTGCAGGGAAACAAACATGGAGCAACATAACCAAGTGGCGGGCATAGTGTACAGAAACATCTGTGCAGAGTACGGGCTGGAAACCCCAGGATCAAGGTGGGAAACACCTCCAAAGGTTGTGGAGAACAACCGAGCCAAGATCCTCTGGAACTTCCAGATACAGACTGACAGGATGGTGATGGACCAACCAGACATAGTGGTGGTGGATAAGAAACAGAGCAGAGCCGTGGAGGTGGACATCATAATACCAAGAGATTTCAATATCAGGAAAAAGGAACATGAGAAACTAGAGAAATACCAGGGGCTCAAGGAGGAGCTGGAGAGAGCCTGGAAAGTAAAGGCATCAGTGGAGCCTGTGGTGATCGGACACTCGGGGCTGTAACCCCCAAACTGGAAGAGGCTACAACAGATACCAGGAAAAAACAACGGAACATCTCAGTCCAGAAAAGTGCAGTACTGGGGACAGCAAAGATACAGCGCAGAATTCTCAGGCTCCCAGGCCTCTGGTAGAGGACCCGAGCTGAATGAGGGTGAGAGACCAACCACCTACCTCAGTGTCGGATTAAATTCATTTGATTCAAACCTGGATTAAAACACAATGAAACATCAGCATCAACAAATGAAAGATTATCAAATATCAGCATGAAGTAACATTTCCTCAGACGCTTTTTAAACAACGTCTCTGATGTGCCATCACTAACCAGATGTGAAAACTGGCCCCAGAATTTACCGCGTCTGTATAGTAGCAAAACTAAGCTCTTGATGTGACACATTTTGGAAAATGAAAATTATGATGTTGATGAGTTTTGTATCTATGAATCTCTGCATTGGTTTTAAAATAAAATGTGACATGTTTGGAGATCGTTGTTGAATTATAAAGAATTTTATACATGAAAATACAAATATAATATAATATAATATATAAAAATAAAAATCAATATTAATCCCATAGATATTAAGAATGGTAAGTTTGGTGAAGTGAGTGTAAACTGTATTTGAGATTCTTTAATAAAAAACACACACACATTTGATTATATCTGAGTGTTCCTCACTTCATGTCCTGTATTTAGTATTTGATGTTTTCCAGTTGATGGCGTCAGAGGACCACCGCTTCCTCTCCTCGTCTCTGTACAGCACCGGGATCCTCGTGGCCTGGGACCCCGCTCCTTTCTCCGCAGATCTGCACGAGGTACTACCATCCCATGCCAACTTTATTTATAAAGCACTTTCAAAACTTTACAGCTGACCAAAATGCTGTACACAAACACAGGAAAGACAAGAACAGTCGCAGTACATCACAATACACAATACAAACACAATACAACTAAAACTACTAAAAAACAGAGAAAACAACAACAAGAAATGTACATCACTAGTACTAGTATATTGGCTTAAAGTATTTTCAAATTAGCACAGCCATGTCTTTGGGACTGAATAATGGCACTACTTTCTGAAGCTATTGTGAAAAAATCATTTCACTTTTGTTTATTTTTTTTGTTATTTATTCAATATTTTACCAAGTCAGTGGGGAACATCTTCTCATTTGCAGTGACGACCTGGTCAAGAGGCAGCACAAAACAGCACAAACACACTCACACATCAACCATAACATGAAGCAGTGAAGTGGAGTTTTTAAAAGTCGACAGAGGTAAAAATGAACTAAGTTTGAAAGTGTGTTGAAGGTGACTCCAGTCACTGCTGCAGAACTGAAATGCGGAAAAGCTCAAAGCTGTGCAGGCTTCAGGAACGACCAGGGTCATATATGTTTATACTCACAGATAAGACGCTGAAATTTTGGGCCAGGTTTTGATTCATGTGGATAGGCCCAGTAATTTCAGCGATATGAACCATAAACTACGTCAACAAAGGGACAGGTAAACAATAAGGTACACAACAAACTCCACCTGAGATCTCTGACCTGGCCTCCACTCAGGTTTAACTATGGACACAACCTTTTGACAGTGAGCTGTTGTTTCCCTCTAGTGGCTGAACCGGACGGACTACCCGATCTTCACTCAGTTTCAGAGGTACCGCAGGCTCCACCCGCTGCAGCCCTTGTACATCCTGCATCCACGCTTTGAGTGGCAGCTGTGGCGGAGGATCCAGGGCAACATGAAGGAGCGCATCCAGAGGAACCCGCCCTCGTCCGGCCTGCAGGGTGAGGGCGCTGCACCACTCCGACCACTCTCCACTCTGAAACTACTCATACTGAACATTCCCTGGGATGTGAAGCTAACTGCAAACACTGCTCTGTTACTCAAGTTAGACTTAAACTCCTAAACAGGACCATGCACAGTCGTACTGATCACAGGCTCCTGAAAATGTGCTCTTTAAATCATTTTTGTTGTTTTCACTTGAGTTTTATGTCTGTTTTGAAACTTTTCCTCAGGGTTTGCTGAAGTGTACATTGTGTCACCATGGTAACTGTTACATTTACAGCAGGGGTCTCCAAACGTTTTCCTCCTGTGAGCTATTCTTTGTAAAATGAAAATACCAGAGAGCTACTCATTTTAACAGTCGGCAGAAATGTAAATATAAGAGCCATGGTGCGCCAAAGATGAGGTACAGTTAGAGCTATAAAACATAAACCATTATCTCAGTTATCAGTGCACAAAATTAGGCATCAGAATGATACATTTACAAAGGAAATAGACATTTAATCAATCAAATTTGAGTTATTCAGTACAATATGTGTAATTCAGAAATCCCTGGGCGAGCTACTTGGACGGGGATGGAGAGCTACAGGCATCTCTCGAGCTGCTCTGTTCAGAGTGCACACTGTACACAACTTGAGGAGGATTCACATCTGAGGGAGGATAAACTAATAGATTGCAGTGACATCATACTGGAGGTGTACTACATGTATCTCTATGGTGGAATGTTCAGCTGTTAGCACAATGCACACATTAGCAAACAACTGTCAAAAAAGTGTTTTAATTGTCTGAAAACCCCCCAAAAATTCAACACATTTTCAAGAACTTATGATCAGTACGAGCATTCGTGGTCAAGAGTGTGATTTTCAACAAAAGTGAGAGTAACTGAAAAACTGTTCACTTTATGTGTGTGACTTTTGTTAACAGCACAAATCATAAAGATCAGATTAAAGACAGAGCAGTGCTTACAGTTAGCGTCCCACTCCCAGGGAATGTTGATGATATCAGCTACCAGTATCAACACAAGAATCTCATGGGTTTGTTTATAAAAAGCTTGATATTTGCATTTTTCAGACTTCTTTTTCTTGACTATTGGCCTTAAATCTCCAGCAGAGAGTCAGTGTTTTGTTTTGGACGATCTGCTGCCTGAAGAATACACGTAAAACTTGATTTGAACACCTTAGCGCAGAAAGAAAACTGCACAAAACATGACTACACAGCCATCTGAGGTCTGCAGGACAAAAGGGCTGTGGGTGATTTTGTAGTACATTTAAATTATATATATTGGGGAAAATAACCAAAAAATCTGCCTTAAATATCGACCCAAAAAATATCAGCCTTAAAATATTTGCAGACTTGACCATCGGTCACTCTGGATTCTAATCAGTATCAGCCATGAAGAAACCCATATCTCTGGTAAAACTGTGGAAATGATTTGAATCTCACACAAAAACAACTATGTAAATAGAGAAGTTCGAGTCACCAGTGTCTTCATCAGTGAAAAGTCAGATGAACCTGTTTCTTCACTCCTAAAAACCTCCATCTCGCTCGCTCAATCCCTTCTCCTCTGCTGTAAACTCTTCCTTTTTTGTTCCCATGTGAGTAACCAGTCCTGCTCTCCTCACAGGTACCGTCCTGATGATGTCTCTGTGTGAGGTGGTGCACGTGTACGAGTTCTTACCGTCCAAGAGGAAGACGGAGCTGTGTCATTACTACCAGCAGTTCTCCGACGCGGCCTGCACCCTGGGAGCCTACCACCCTCTGCTCTACGAGAAGAACCTGGTCAAACGCATGAACCAGGGACCGGACCGGGACATCTATCTGCACGGACGGGTCACACTGCCGGGCTTCAGCACGTTAAACTGCACCCACAGCCAGCAGGGGGCACCACAGTGACGGCCCACAGCTAACAGGGGGCGCAACAATAACCTTGGCCCACCTCGCCCACTTTCGCCTCTTCACTTTCTATGTGGTAGCACTTCCGGTTAAGTGGGAATCCTGTTCATTTCTATGGAGAATTTGAAATGTTACTGCTGATAGTCGGGTCAGGAAGGACAGAAGTTATCACATACCGTAAAATACCAAATAACAGCCGGGGCATTTATTTCTTTCAGTCACTTAACAGACCAGGCATTTATTTGAGACCAGGCAGCAGTTTGGGGCAGGCGATTAATTCCTTCCTCACAACAATCTTGCTCAGCAAAACTGGGAAAAATGACTTTCCTATTTTGTGGGTACGATTCCTGCCACCTAGTTCTCGTCTTTCCTCTCCCCTTTGCCACAACATTTCTCTAATGCCACAACAGCTACGATCACATCACCGCTTCCTCCCAGTCGCCAAACTGAAGTCATTTTACCAAAAAAACTAAACTAAAAACTTTACTAAAAACTGCTTTCATTTCCTGCCCGCTATGTTCCGCCATCTTTCTTTTGCTACGTCACTTTGAAATCAGGATTTGACAGCAGCATCATTTGTTCCTCCTCTTTTTCAGTGAAGATGAGGCTGATCAGACGCAGTGCAGAGAATAGAGCCTCTCCACTCAGTCACATGACCAGTGTGATGTGGGCACTACTGACCTGAAGTCAAACTGCTCCTGTCGTTGTAAACATCAGGCTCTCTGTGTGTCGCTGCACTAATCATTACAACTTGGGTGAATAAAGCACAAAAAACAGGAAATGGGAGTTTGAGCAGCTCCTCAACAGCACCACAACCACTGCTGATGGCACAGGCGACTTTCTTTATAGACTCTGCGTTTATTTGGAACCGGCGGTTATTTATCAAAATATACAGTTGTTAATTGAAACCTGGCTGTTATTTGGTATTTTACAGTAGCACTGTTTGCCGTGGTAATGTGTTAGCTTCTGTTTTGGCTATTTTTTTTTTTTAATGTTTTATATTTTATTTTGTTGTGTAAGTTGAGTTAAGGCTGTAGGAGACAAATTTGTGTTTAAAATTACTTCTCTTAACATGTTAACTACCCCAAAACCCCGTAACCTTAAACCTTTTCCTCACCTTAATTTATTCCAGTTCTTAATTTTAACCAAACCCAAACTTAAAGAGGGCGTATTCTGCATTTTTTAGGTTTCTACTATGTTATAACATTGTTTCCTCATCCATGCATGTTTGAGTAATCTAGCAATCTCTCCTGGGCCCTATATTCCAACCCTCTTTACAGTTACTGTAAGATTTTGTACAATGCTCCACCCACAAGCCTACGCCCCCCATGCTCCCACACGACAATTCTCCATAAATATACAAAAACATGATACAAAACTGTGGACAGCAACTTGACAAAGCTGATGTGCAGTAGTTTCATGTTTGAGTTGTGGTAGTGTTCTGAAGGGGGAGCAAATCGGGCATTTTCAAAACAATAATAAGGTAACATGGTGATCTAAATCTGTTATGTGTTAGCAGTTAATACCCCATAGTAGAAAAATCCCCCCTTTAACCAAACCCAAACCAACTTTAACACAAGTGAACTTGAACACAAAACTGTCCCTCCTGACCAGACATTCTAGAATTAACCTTTGAGAAAAGGTTTGTTTGTATAAAATGATTCACGTGAATAATTTTCCTGTGCACCAACACTGCACTGATTCTCCGGGAGGATTTTAAAGCAGCTTTAAATCCGTATAGAATATATTTGCTGTGAGATCAGCCTCATGCAAAATAATACAACCCCGATGACGACGAGCTGGGTACTGATAATAATCCTGTATTTTTATTTTGCATTTAATTTAATCACAAGAGGGGTGCAGGTATTCTGTAAGTGCACTGTGTCTCCGTGGAGTTGAAACTGCTAGCTGAATGTTCCACAGTATGGCATTAAACTTATATCTAGAGTTTATTCAATTACAGATAGTTTTATTGCTCCGAAATACCTCACAAAACATGCCTGCCTCTCCACAGAGCTGACCTGTAACTTGACATCTTCTGCTTGACTTGAGATATGGAGAGTCATTTAATGTGATACTGTGGAACATTGTAGGCAAGGCAATAACATTACCATGGAGACGAAGTTACATAGTGATCAAAGGATACGGAGCTACACTTTGACCCATGCTTCAGTGGCTCTGGGTTTAACCAGTAGGACCATCTCCAGATCTTGAGATAGTCTTGGTCCAATCTTGTGCTTCTTGTGGGACCAATCACAGAGCAGCACGGTGGTGTGGGTGGAGCCAAAGGTGAACCATCCAAGTGGACCTAAACAAACGTGGTGACGCAGAAAGGCAGAAACGTACTGCAGAGCTTTGTGCTTTTGTGGAGGAAAAATGTCTGTGCTTTTCCCTCAACTGGATTTAACTCAAGCTTGATTTTTTTGACTTGTTCCGCTGTTGTGACGCCTCAACCAATCAGCTTGGAGTACTCGTCTGAACGCCCTGATAGGTCCCGATCGATTTCAGCCAGAGCCATCCCAGAATGATAATGTGTAGAACTCATTTCAGAGCTACACATATCGAGGTTTGGTCAGGACTACCTTGGCTGGAGGATTTGACCGTTTTTTGTGCATGTTTGGGGTTGAGGCCCGGAGGAAACCCACACAGACAAAAGGGAGAACATGCAAACTGTACCCAGCCCTGACGACGAATGTGAAAAGTGCATGTTATAATGTAGACAATGTTTATAGCATGAACATAGTCACTGCCGCGCTGAGCTTCACACAGTTCATATGAAGTAATGCACCAATACACACGCCCACAGGAGACGGCTGCTTTCACACACATGGGATCAATCCTAAAATTCAACAACACCCATATTTTGAGTTTACACAATTTAAACTAATGTAGGTTTTGGTTTTTGCAGTGCAGAACTTTTGCGTTTTCAGTGTAATCTGGTGTAAATATTAGTGTGCCTGCTGTATATTGGAATGACATTCCTTTGATGGTCTGGGCCTATTTCAGCTGAGTAGGTGTTTCTGTACATGCAACATAATAAATATTATTTATTACAAAAGATTTTTTTTAAATACCCAAAAATGTGCTGTGCAGCCTTTTCAACAGCGGCTCAGACAGGTGAACGTTTGTCTATTAACTAGAAGGTTGAAGGTTTAATGCGTGAGAGACTGTGGCTGAGAATAGGCTCTGTGCACATTTATGTCACAAACCAGGAAGATGTTTGGAAACAAGTGATGAAAACTTCCAGTGTAGTTCCTGACACTGGGTTCACTGACCGACTGTGATCAAACCCACTTAAGTCCGATAAAACCATGGATTCAGCAGCCAAAGCGTTCCATGGGACACGTGACTTTTATGTCACTTACATCGATATATATTAACATCATTTATTTTATGTATTACATTAAAGCTCAAAACTAATGGAAGGCTATAAATTGCTTGTAGACAAGTACTTGTTTTATCACCAGGGTCAGTGTTATATGCCATCAGATTGAGATAAATGCATTATAAATGATGAATTATTTATTAATTTATTGATAATTATATTTATTATTAAAATGATGAAAACTGAGGTTTGGTTGTAATTGTTGCTTCGCTGAACATAACAGAACGTTACAATGACACGGAGATGAAGAAAACTGGGACATTTTCTCATTTTTCCTAGATTTTCCCAGACTTACGTCGCATGTTTCCAAACGTCTTCCTGGTTTGTGACGTAAACGTGAACAGAGCCTGTTGGTGGATTTCAGGTTCTAGAATGTGATGATGTCATTCTCACAGATGGGGGCAGGAGGCAGACTTTCAATTTATAAACATTGTACTTTGTCATGAAGTACAAAAAGCTTATTCACAAATCTTTAATGTCATAGTTTTTATCAGTGACTAAACCCATGAACTTGCAATATTACAACAAAAGTCTAAGTTTTAACTGTATTTACTTGAACTCTAAAATGCTGTGGTCGTGTGAAACCCACCAGCAGCACCCGGCACCTTCACTGTTAGCGTCACCACTTCCTGTTGAGCTGGATCTGTGAGGTCTGTGCTGAGTCCAGCTAAAATGAATCAATATTTAAAATAATGTGGTGTAGGAGCTGCAGGTGGATGTTCGTGGCACCATGTTGAAAAGCACACAAAGAACATGAATACTTGTGAGGACGACACTTCTGTGTCTACAAACACACGTTTATGTCTCAGTGCTAACGCTAATGCTAATTTTGAGGCATAATAAATATAAAAACAAAATCAAAGTATTCTATATATATAAATATATATATCCAAATGATGTCTGTAAACTTTTTTTGAATTCATTTGCATTGGAATAGGTTTGAGAATAAAAGTGATTGTTAGCTTTGAGACACAGTGAGCTAGTGTGATAAACAGATGAAGGTCATCAGCTTTGGTTATAGATCACATTTATTTTTGGTCATTTCTTTATGCATTGGCTTTTCAAACAGCCAAGCTAGTAGCTAACTTCAGTGAAAGAATCCAGTGTGCATTTGTGTGGTACATGCGCTCACAGATTTATCATGGTCCAGTTAAGTAAATAATCACGTTAAGGGTCTTGCTCAAGGACACAAAAACAACATACAGTTGTGTTGTGTGGAAGACTTTGGATGTACTGTGGGCTGAGTTCACACATGAACCACTTCAACTCATGTCAGAACTAAACCTGGACTAGACTCAAACTCAAACTCAAACCACAGGCCACAGGGACAAGTCTGAACTAATGTCACAATATGAACATTTCAAACTCGATTTGATACCAAGGAATAGACTTGATACTCAAAACGATTCTGATACCACAGTGAAAATAAAAACTACTCAATAGATTTCCAACATTAAATAGTAGCACTTTTTTTTCTATTCTCATGTGGCCGTTTATCTGTAATCCCTTGGTCGTCCAGCTATGTTCCATAGTGGTCCAACGTTGTTAGTACTGACACCTGCTCAGATGAGTATTTAGTTTCAGTACTAGTTTGACTATAGATTAGTTTGTAGTGTTCAATACTTATGACAACTCAAGTATGAACACACCCTCAGTGACCCACCTGATTAAAGAAAGACACACCTTATTTGTGCTCATTTTAGTGAAAAAGGCTCAGTCTGTTTTGGGTTTGAGATGAAATAAGACCATGAATGTCCAGTGATCACTGCTGTGTATGATACTGTTGTTCTGCAGACAGAGCGATGCAAAGTAGAGACACTTATGGAGTTTGTAGTCATGTCAACTCTTATATTCAGGGCAAAATAATCATATAATAATCAAATTGGCCACACATATCAGCAGATTGGAGATTAACGAACATCAGATGCTCTGGGTTCTAAAAAATCTGCACTGAAATGAAAAAAGTCCATCTGTAGTGCACACACACAGAGATTGTGATTTCCTGCTTCACTCTTACAGGTTCTGTATCATGAAAAACTAACTCAAGTGAACTTTTACTGTTAATACTAATGTTGTCCTCAAAACAGACGTGCACTTGTGTTTTGTTTCATTCACACAGGCTTCTCATGCTGGCTTAGTAGTTTTAGTTGGTTCCTTTCACTTTGCTTTTGGAAATTCCAGTTCTGCAATTATCTAAATGTTTCTAGTGAAAGATTTGGAGTTTAAAAACACAGTGGAGTGTTTTCTGTTTGAGAGAAGAACTGAGCCTAAATGTGCAGGTTTGTGTGTTAAACATGTGTAAATGAAACAAACACAACTCCAGGTGTGTGTGTGATGATGAACATTAGAACACAGATCAGAAAACAGCTTCATTTGGATCCTTTTGGCGCAAGACAGAACAAATGAACGCAGTTTTCTGACCAAAGGATCAAATGACGGGGCTGAACTGTAGCTGCGCTCACATATTTGTACATGATGTCATGTTTCAGTCAATCCACTGATTTCTGCACACTTTTATTATGAATCTCTTGTTTTTATTTGAAGTATTTTAAGAATTTCTAAAATGTTCCTCTCTTGGGCAATGGTCACACAATTTCCACAAGTTGTTGTATTTTTTGTTTACCTTGTGTACGATTGTTGTGTCCGCTGCACTTGAGCCTCAGTGTCTTGAGGTTAAACCTGGGTTAAACAGAAAAGAGCAAAAGTGAAATCAAATGTTTATTTTATTTTTTTAAAGGAAAAAAACAACTTTAAAAGCATAAAAGTGAATCAGCTCTATGGGACTCGTAACCAAAACCCAAAAAACTGTAATATCTGAAACTTCAAAAATCAAATGCAATTCACTTTTCAAGTTTTCAGTGTATTTTATTTATTTTAATATGTTTTGTTCTTTGTTTCTTCATAGTTGCTGGTTGTTTTTTCTTTATTATGCCTTTGGATTAGGGTAAAATCAGTTGAAATTTGACGTCTAAAACCAGAATAAAATGTTTGTTCATATTTTAAGTTTTAATCATCAACATTGTACAGTGTAGGCAACAAAACATGCAAGACGCAATACTAATGATTTGTACTCCTAATGTTACTTTCCCAAACTATATGCAAGATATACAATTATTTAATGAGTATAATCTTTACAGGGCCTATATCACACAAAAGTGACTCTTGTGAGCTTTAAGCCAAGTTACAAAGTGGTTACCTCCTCAAAAACAGACCTGGACTTGTGTTTTGGTTCATTACCACGTGTGACTGTAAGACTGCATTATTAATCTGCCTATCAGTCTGTCTCCAAAACTCAAAATGCTCAGTTCCACCTTGTGATGTCATAAAGTGGTAGTTTTCAAATGAACAACTCCTTTTACCTTTAGATCACGGCCGTGTTTTTGACGGGGAAACAACATCATAACGTAGATTAAAAATAGTGTAATATGGGCCCTTTAAAATATGTAAAATGAAACTAAACTAATGGATCATTTCCTTTTGGTGGACTGCAGGGATGTTTTTGCCGTTTTCTTCTAAATGCATGACGTAGCAACTCAGCTCTGCAAGGTTTTGTGCCAAATTGAAAATGAAATATAGTTTTTTATTAGTCATTTTGTGTGAATTTCAATTTGTTCAATTTCTGCTGCAGTGTAAGTAGCATTCAGATTGGTTTTGCCTCTCAGACAGTTCAGCATGTTTTGTGACTCTGTTATTTAAACATGAATGAGCCATTTCAGTTCATTCTGTTGTGACAGTTGAGAATTTCAAAGTAGTAAGTGACATTTTGGTAACTTTACTGTGAAAATGTTATATTCAGAGGTGGGTACTAGTCAAAAACTGTACTGAAGTAAAACTAACATTACTTCAAAATAATATTACTCAAGTAAAAGTACAAAGTAGTGGTCCAAGAAATCAATATATACAGTATATGGGTAAACTACTCCTCAAGTAAGAGTAACTTAAAGAGGAACCACATTTTGTACTCAAGTCAGAGTATTGTTACACTGTACATTGTGTTAGTATAGAAGTAAAAGTATACTGTTAGAAAAGTACTCTGAAAACAAAGTTGCTTAAGTAAATGTAACTGTTACACTAAACATTCTGTTACTCGAGTTTATTTCTACAGCACTTTTCACACACATGTCACACACTTTACACTTCACAGATCATTATTCACTCCACACTCTCCACTGTAAACTTATACTGACAGAAGTAACTGACAGACTGACAGAAGCACAGCTGCCAATCTGCACCACTGTCCCCTCTGACCAGCACCATCCAAGTACTGACCCGACCCGACCCCGCTGAACTTCTGAGATCTGACAGGACCAGGCTTTTGACGAGCCGGTGTAGGAGTGAACGTGTGCTGATGGAGAAGTAGGCTATTCTGAAAAGTACTGTTTTGTTAAAAGTACAAGTTACCGAAGTACCGTAAACTACCCACAGTACTACCCGTGTCTGGTTATTTTTATTTCTCTTATTGTACCAGAATGTCTCTTACTCCATTTGAGCCACGCTTTACTCAACTCTGCTGAGGAACCCTGAATTACTGATGTCATTTGGAGAGAAAAGTCTATGCAGTTTTCTCAGCTCAAACTTCTGTTTTTTCACTCAGACGTTTGTGTATATTTTGGGGCTGATTGAAGCACGTTTCGGCTGTAGCTTTTGCCTTCTTCCTCTTCTTCATTTCTATCTGGGAGGGTTTTGCTTGTTATCAGTGTTCTCAAATGTAGATGTTGTTGTCAAAGTTTCCCCTTGTTTTTTAACATAAAGTTCTGGATAAATCCATTTTAACCATGTGTCTGTTTATTTGCTCTTCCTCTTCACGCTCCATGTTCAGACGACATCACAACATTCTATTGATATTGTGCAGCTGATCTCATCAACGTTCCCTGGGGCGTGATGCTAACTAGAGGCACTGCTCTGGCTGAAGCTCTTACTCAAGTGAGACTTTAATCTGAGCTTTATTGTTTTACCACAGTCTCGCCCGAAAAAGCTGACTTAGTTATTACAACACATGAGCTCATTTGTGCTGTTAAACAAGTCCCTCAAATAACATTACAATCACAAATAGCCAACAGGTTTTCAGTCTTTGATCCGTTTAGTTGAAAAGTAAACTTCTAAACACGAGCATGAACGCTCGGACTGATCACAGGCTCATGGAAATATTATGTTTTTTTAATATTTATAGTTCAGAGAAATCTAAAAACTTAGGTTGGTAGGTGTGTTACCATAGTGACTGCTGTCCATTCCTCCATAGACATCCATGCAGAACACTGAAGCACGAAGTCACTGCAAAGTATCAACTGGACACTTAGCACAGAAGAGGGATACGAAAATTCATATTTTAAAAATGCTGATTTCTATTTGAAATAAGAGTTGTAGAGTCTTGTTGGTGTAATCAGGGTCAACTCTGAATGAACCTGAACAGAACTTGAAGAAGAAAAAAACACAACATAGATCTAAACACAAGTGTGGGAGACATAACACAAAGTGCCAGACGACGCAAAAATAAACAAAAGGGAAATTATTTGTTCACAGTAGCTACAGAAACTGAATTTGAAGTAAGGAAAGGAGTTTAAGTCAAACAAATCATGAGAAGGCTCAACATTTGTGGATCATAAGATTGATTTCTTTCAAAAACTTAGACCTGGACTTAAGAGTTATTTTAAGAACTTAGACATACATTTATCTTAGCTCCTGTTTATGACCTCGACTTGAATATCTGTAATTAATGAATACATTTGTGACAGTGGTATTTCTCCGGCAAGGGATAATACAAAACATATAAATACATGGAAGGTTGGCGCCCTCTAGTGTTCAGGGCAAAAGCGGTGCTTTAATGCAGTGCTGCTCCTGTTTATGTGTTCACCTGGTCGAGTTTATGTATGTATTATGATACATGATACATTATACAGTGATACTCTGTAGAACAAGAAACACGTGAAGCTGCTATTACAATAATGAAAGTGACGTAAGGTAAACTGTCCATGATGTCACTGCAGACTAAAGATGTAAAGATGTAAGCCTACAGCTGGAAAAGGTTTATATTCCCAAACACAGATGTGTTTGATGTTATGGCCGCTAGATGGCGTAAGTGTGCGTAGATTTGAGTTTCTCATGTAAAATATTCTCTCACCATGGATCCGCAAACACGCACCACACGGGTCCAGCCCACATCAATATGTAAGTACAATGAGATTTGATTTTGAAAAATCCATGTTGTAGATCGATAAAAAAATAAAATAAAATCCACAGCGAGAAAATAAAGCTGTTTCCGCCCGGTTTCGAACCGGGGACCTTTCGCGTGTGAGGCGAACGTGATAACCACTACACTACGGAAACCATGTACGCATGCGCACTTCTATTTATCTGATAAAATAGATCAAACACAGACACCATATAGAGAGAAAACATATTCTAAAAAATTCTTATGAAACAATAAGTCTTTCACTTATTCGTCTTGATTTTAATGGTCATAGTTATAAACTTTGTCGTACGCAGTCGTCTTAGTCTAGAGGATTTAATAGATGCATGTGTAGACGTTATAAATTCATCTAGATTTTTTACACCTCTATAAGGTTATCGCGAGCAACTCAAAGAGTATCAGCCAATCAGAATGAGCCTCTCAGCCACGTGCTGCTATACAGCCAATCAGAATGCAGAGATTAGTGCCGTTCATAAAATAATTGCCGCAGACTTGCCTGGATCAGAAGACGCAAGATTACAGTCATGAATAAACACTAAGATTTGATCAAAAGTTAGTTATCACTGTTTGTACTTTTAAAAAGGCCAAATTAAATATGAATTTAAAGTATAGAGCATACATTATTTAGAAAACCACGTACAGCTGATCATTCTATCATAAAACAGTTTACATTTGATGTTGAGACAGACTATATTATGTTTATTAAAACAACAATTAACAAATGGTGACCTTTTGCACCACCTCAACCACATAAACTTGGAGAGGGAAAAAAACAGGGAGAGGGGGTTCTGCTTTTCACAGGGTCAATAACAGTGTAACAGCCTCAGACCTGCCATTTGGAGAAGTTCACTGTTAAACACGCTCCCATCTCCCTCTGTCTGTCTGCACACTTTATTCACTTTATATGTTTTATACTTTATTGTGATCAGTGCTCATTTTGTCATCCTATTTATCTCTTTTATCACTTCATAACAATGTTTTATAAAACACTGTGTTCCTGAATCTATAATAATGCAGAAAAGGAAATACACAAATAATTTACACAATATTTATTGAAAGTTAAAAACGAAAAAGAAAATAGATACAGTTCAGACATAATTTATTTACAAGACATTACTCATATTTACATACATATTCACATAAATTATTTACAGAATAAATATAAAACAGATCAGTGATGTCACCCCCACAGTGTGTAATTACAAGTATTTACATTGAACTTTACACCAGAGATCATCGCATACAGTAAAATTTACATTTTTAAAATGTAATGGGTAAATGAAGAATTGTAGTTAGAGATTCCAGACAAATTTTTCTAGTGTGTGTTTTTGGACTGCCCATGTCAGGCCTCATGAAGAGTCCTCTCTCACACCTACAGTCTCATTTACCTCTGTCTTACTGTAAGTGTGACACACTGACCCAAACTTGTGCATCTTGGCTCAATGACACTTTTTCCCCATCAGTGCTGTGTAAGGAGTAGTGCCTGTGTGTTTAAAGCACAGATTCCTGGTGTGGGTTGCTTCCTGAACGACTTAGTGCAAAAGTCTCTTAGGTAAAACCACTGTCAATAATCTTACACCTGTCCAGCTCAAAAAGAGTGCGCTCTTCCCTCTCAGCTATCCTGTTCTGGTGCAGGGAGTAGGGACAGGACGTCTCGTGTTTTAAAAGCTTCACTTTTGTTTTCAACACTCTGAGTCCCTCCTTTCCTTTTCCCTGTATTAAGTCACTCCCCCTTCAGAGCACTAGCATGCAGAGTGCAGAGTGCTAATGAAACAACTGCACATCTCATCAGGTTTGTCACGTTACGGATTGTTTTGTTGTACTGTTTGGACCGCTCCATTAATGAACAAAGTTAACCTGCTCTACATGAATGACCGGAGCCGGGAGTCTACGCTCACATGGTATTATAAAAGAACTTGTAAAAGACTGTGTAAAGATTGTGATTTTAACATGTCCTTACTGTTTTGCACTTTTGACTGTACAAAAAAAAAAAAAAAAACTAAACCGCTTCAAGTTTTACAGCACATTTATTTTCATACATTTTCACGACATCTCAAAACTCCTTCAAAGCTCAAAATGCAAGCGCAATACAAACAGTTATATGTAAACCATTTTTACACAAATATTCACAGTAATAAATTAATGTCAGGCTTAACGGCACAAAGGAAGGAGCAGAATAAATGAACAGAGGTGGGTAGAGAAGCCAAAAATTGTACTAAGTAAGAGTAACTTCAGAATAATATTACTCAAGTAGAAGTACAAAGTAGTGGTCCAAGAAATGGCTCCAGTAGAGTAAAAAATATTTGAGGAAAGTACTACTCAAGCAAGAGTAACTTTAAGAGAAACTGTCAGGGCGTATGTGATTTAGCAATATTGAAAGTTAATGTGTAATTAAGTGAATGTATTTGGAAGAACAAAACATAATGCACAAAATCTGGTATTTTCCAAGGACAGAGACAAAAATGAGACAAACTAAATCAGCAGAAAGTATTTGACAAAACTACTACTCAACAGTAAAAGTAAGAATATCTGTGTGATAAGTTAAGTCAATTCAATTTGATTTAGGGATAAATATTAAATCAGATCTGAAGGAGCTGCAAGAAACACAAATATTCAGATCATTTCATATTGTCACATAAAGATTCTGTCACTTTAGATTCACACACATCGTGAAGAGGAACCACAACTTTTACTCCTGTAAGAGTACTGTTACTTCAATAAAAAATATGAATCAAGTAGGAATAAAAGTATGGTGCTAGAAAAGTACAATTTCTTTTGAAAAAAAACAAAAACAACCCTCAGTAAATGTAAGTACCCACCTCTGTGAATGAGGTTTCAAATCACTGCTTCCAAACACTGGTCTATACATTTGTACATGTCGTGATTCCTCGGTTTCTGTGCACATTCAAAGGCTAATGTTTGTTTTCCACTGTAAAAAGTCAAAGGATCTATAAGTGCAAAGGACAGAATTAACAATATTACTCTTAGTTTTAGTAGTTCACATGTAATCATTTAGAATATTGATCCTAATCCTTTTTTGTCTCATATTCCTCAACATTGTTCATCGATGTTTCTGTTTTCAATCCTTTTTTTCCTTTGTAATTTTGGTAGATTTCTATTTTCTTTAATTAGCTGTAATCCATAATAGTCCTTGTAAAAGTGCTCTAGGTAACTTTTCCAGTTGAGGGTATGACAGCTGCTCATCTTATGGGCAGCCTGAAATGTTACGTAGTATGGTTTTAAAGTTTACATTACACAAAACTGACTGAGCTTTAAGCCATGGTGGAACTGTAGTAATTGTTGTTTCCTCATCAAAAACCTGTTGAGTTGTGTTTTGTTTCATTCACACATTTGAGCTGAAATTATCCAAAAGATTCCAGTAACGGTGTGTGGAGTTTAAAAACACAGTGGAGCACTTCCTTTATGATATCACAAGGTGTGCGTTTGTAGGTTTGTGTGTTAAACATGTGTGACTGAAACTAAACACAACTCCAGGTCTGTTGGTGATGAGGAAAAGATATTAGAACTTAGATCAGAAAACAGAGTATTATGAGCCCTTTGAAGAGTTTTTGTGGCCAAAGCAGAATGCCTTACCCTGGAACATTCCAAGCAAAGCTATAACATCTCCACAGAGACAAGAAAGTGTGAGAAAAGTTTGAAAATACACCATTAATATGCGATCATAGTCCCTGCTTTATCAGTCCTGCTTTTGAGACTCTCAGATTAAATACTGCGTTAAAGAGGGGGTATTATGCTTCTGTGGGGTATTCAGTTTCAGTTTTGTTTTTTGAGTTGAGTCCCCCCATCCCTTTGCTCCCCACACCAAGTCACTCCCCCTTCAGAGCGTCATCACAACACAATCAGCATGCACCCACTAACCAAACTACTGCACGTCGCATCAGGTTTGTCAGGTTGTAGAGAATTGTTTTGTATCATGCTTTTCTTCGTTTAAGAAAAAATGCGGGTGATGTAGGAGCACTGGACAGAATCGCACTAACCGTAAGGAGGATTCAAACAGGGCCTAGGAGAGATCACAAGATTATTCAAACATGCATGATGAGCTTTAAAACCTCTTCAGGCACGTTTTTGATGGATGGTTATAACAAGGCAGAAAGCTCCAGTTATGCACAATAGCCCCTCTTTAAAGTTTCTGTTATCAAACCTGCTTAAAAAAAAAAAAAAACACTTACAAAAATGGTCAGAAGTATTTTTAACGGACATATCTGAAGTAGTGTGGCAGTTTTTCATAAACAGGATTTGGTATCTAGCAAATAAATAAAGAAATCAGTAGTTATTTTGTGTAAGGCCTGTTTGAATCTTTGTAGTGAATGTTCCATATAATGCTTTATTCAGACGTATGCATGAGTGAAGCCTTTGTCATGATTTGTATTTGGTCCTAATTCAGTCTGGTTTGAGTTAAGGCATTTTTATCTGAATTTAATGTGGCAAAAATGTAACAATTAAAGAACACAATGTCAAATTTCTTCTCTCATTTCGCACGGCCTCAGAAAATGGGGGTTAAAGGTGCTGTACCTGATTTTTACCTTCTTAAAAACATGTAAAACAGAGCTAGTTTGTTTTAAACTGTTTGTAGTGGTCCAAAGTTCTTCCTCACTTACCTTATGCTTTCTGAGCACCCTCATTATTCACCTTCTAAGCACTTTTCTCAACTCTCAGACACCAGAGCAGAGTTTTGCTGTGTTGGTAAAGCTAAAAACAACTAGCATGCTAATAGCACACCAGCATTAGTTCCCTGTTGTGTCATTTTGACCTCGAGAGCTCAGTGCTCAGATCCATGGGGGGAAATCAGGTACAGCCCCTTTAAGAGGTATTTTACTGCTTTAGGTTCTTCCTCATCCATCCACTCGTGTTCATCCCCAAATTAAACCTGCTTCAGTTCCACTTCAGACCTGGTTTAGTTCTGGTGGTCCTCAGAAAGCCAAATAAAACCAATGAACCAATCAAGAGACCCAACTGGACCATGTCATTTTCCGGTAAGTGTGGAAGGTTTGTCAAAAGAAAGAGATGAAAACTTCACTGATCAGTACTGACATGAGATCCTCATTTGAGCAAGTATCCAAACTGAAAAAACGGTAACGCCACATGGCAATATTTAAAGGTGCACTATGTAACTTTTCTAACAATAACTGTCACCTGCTTGTCTCAAAGTCAGTCACACCAGCTGGCCAAGTTACAAGTCAGATCTGTGGAGGGGCGACCCCGCTCAGAGTAAGTATACATGTTTCTCAAGGTACTTTTGAGCTATAAAAACACCTGTAATTGATGCATGATAAATTAAATGTAATGCCATAATGTGGAACATTCTAGGCAAAGCAAAAAGAAGGTGGCAGCCCCTCAACCAGAAAAGTTACATAGTGTGACTTTTTAAAAAAACTACAATTTTGTTTTGAAAATTACATTCTATGGTCTAAATGTGTGGTACTTAATCAGATATGGAGCCTTTTCCTCAGTGTTGAGTTGAGTTTTAAATAAAGCACTTGGCTTTAAAGTTTGTCCTGGTGTTGCCGTCACAGTGTGGTCGTCATGGCGACTCGGAGCCATACAGGAGCAGGACTTCGTGCGAGAGGATAAAGGTGAAGAAATAGACGCAGAGATCAGCGAACACGTCTCCCATGCGTCTGTACGTGTCCATGGAGCGGTTTATGACCTCAGCGGGGATCCCAGACAGGAGCAGGGCGGCGGTGAGCACTGTGGTCTGAGCCTTCTTCTCCACCTGACACACACAAACACAGGGTCACGTAAAACACACACACACACTCTTCTAAACTGGGCACCAAGATTTTTAGGAATGTTCCAATATGGATTTTTTTTCCAGGCAATACTAGTAAGTAATATTTATCTCGCTATAAATGCTTTTTGATAACATCAAGATCATTGAAAATATAAAGCAAGGCCCACAACTTAGCTTAGGTCTATTAAGACATGTCATAACTAAAGGCATTTTAAACTTAGAAGAGAGTGGCTGGGTTTTCTCTGTTTCCTCTTCACCAAAGAGCACCTCTTTTTCCTGTTTGTACAGCTTTTCATCACTGCCATGAAGTGCTCCTAGATTCCCTTAGTTCACAATATATTACAAAAAGGACTATCAAACTAAATGTCTGCTCATTCTCATATGTGCCACTTCACTGCTCCACGGTTAAAAGGTCTGAAAGATCAATACAAAAGATTACAGAGAACTAGACTCACCTTTGGAAAGTACTGGGACAGCCCCATGTAAGCCAACTCCAGCGTCAGGAAGGGGGCAAAGATGGACTGAAACAAAACAGATACAATTCATCTCACAACAATCCAAACATTAAAACAATGTAAACATAATCACAATGTAGCATCCCTGTCATAGAACTTTCTGTCACGTTTACACACTTCGATTGCGCTCTTCCAAAACCTGTATAAATCAGCTGAGTGGACACGTCACAGCAACATCACATGACCACTCTGAGGAAGAGCACAGGGAGCAGTTTAAACTGTCATGTAAGAAAACAAACTCTTGGTATGAAAAAAAGAAAAAATAATATAAAACAACGGAACAGTTAAAAAGAACTGTATGTAAACTGCGATCTGTCAGATCTTTAACCTGCAGACAGAGACACATCCTGCATTTGTCTCAGTCTCAGTTTATGTGAAGATCAGAACCTCCAGAATTCCCTCCCTGAGCTGCAGAGGCTGCACTAACACTGACTCATGACTGGTGCAGGTGCTGGGGTTTAGGGAGTGAACATTGAGATCAGAGAGACATTTTAGGCTTCAACACACTGGATTTCAGCTCTGAAATTGGCAACACAATTGACAGTCATGTGAGGCTCATTCTGCTTTCTGATTGGAGAATCGTCTTGAATCGAAACACCAAATTATAACAAACAACCTGGCATCATGTCCAATGTTTTTGTTATTAAGAATAAATAAGCATTACATTTGTTGTCAGTAAAAGCGTTTTTTGATTTGAACATGCTTATTTGGTATCCGGTGACAAATTTGCGTCTTTTATGTTTATGAAATTTTAAATCTAAACCTCACAGGCAGCTCCTTCAAATGAATCAGAATGAATCAGTGATTTATGTGTAGGACTTACCAGATATTTGCACACGAACACTCGCACGAACAGCGCGAGGAGGACGCTGCCGATCAGACGGAAAACCCTGAACGCATCAAACTCCTCAGCCTCCGCCCCCGAGTCCTGCGCCGGCTTCTCATTGGCCAGTTGTCCACGCAGCTTCATGGCATCATCAAAGCGCGACAGGTACTTGTGCAGACCTCTCCGAGGGGACGCACCACACTCGTCTCCTCTGGGCATCTGCCTCACTTCACCGGGGTCCTCCTCCACGGCGCCCTCTAGAGGTTTACTGCAGTCTGAAGCGCCGCTGTGGGAGGGGCTGGACTCGAATGGGGAGGGGCGCTGAGAGGGATCCAAGTCCAAATGGAACCGAGGCTCTGAGGAACGAAGAGAGGAAACTGGAGGAAGAAAGAGGAGAGAGGGGCACAGAAGGCAAAGTAAGTTTTAGTTTGTGGACTGAATTCAAGTCGAAACCACAGACTGAATAAAGATGTGGACTAAGAGAGTGTGATTTCACCCACAGTGTTTGTCTCCAGTCAAATGAAGCTCATCAAAACTCAAAGTTACAACGGCAAATTTGGAGCCGGGTCCCTAGTTGGAATTCCAACCATGAGTATCATAGCAACCAAAGAGTCAATCCTAAGTGAGGCTGTTGGAGGTAACACCACACTGGTTTAGCAGCGTGAGGGCGCTTTAGCGCTGTCAATCAAACATGTTGCAAATGCTAGCGGGAGCAACCTTGAGGAAAGAAGGCAACTGATTGGTCTGTTATTCATGTTCATATCTTCATTTACAGACAAAACAGCAAAATAAAACCACCAGGGGTACGTTGAGCATGTTAATATTTTCATATTATATATCAAATGGAGCCTATGGAGCCGGGGGCGTGCCCATGCTCACTTCCTCACTGTATCTGTTAGATAGTCTATGGTCTAAACCAGATCTGGGCATTGTCCAGCTCCAGGGTCACATACGGCCCTTTGGTCGACTCTGACTGGCCCGATTAAGCTCATTTAGAATTACAAAATAAAGATATTTTATAATTTAACCTCATGCACAGACTAAAGCTGCACTGATTTTATTTTAGAGGTGTTTTTTTTATGATATTTCCATAAGGCAGCCTCACTTTTTCATTGCTGAGTCATAACATAAACCAGGACTAGACTTTGAATGTTCTGGCCCCACACTACATCTCATATCTCATCCAAATGTACTCCCCCACGCGCTCTGAGCTCTGGCTTTTAACACTGAGTTGTGTGCTCCTCTGTGTCTTTTATTTATTTTTCTTATTTACTGCTATTTTATGATTTTTATGGTTTTACTGGTTTTATTATTTTAGGACTGGTATGACCAAATTTGAGCAATTTACCCTTTTGTTGTCTTCATTTTCTCTGCAGCATTTTGGAAATTGCTTTGTTTGTAAAATGTAATATAGAAATAAAGTGGCTTTGGGTAAATACGGTGAAAAACTGATGAAACACCCATATGAATGTAATGGTTTTAAGTGGCCTCTAAGTGTCATCAGCCCCTTCTCCTTTGTGTTGAGTCAAATTCACCAGAAAAAAAACGTGATTTAAAGTGCCTCCACGCCTCGTACCGCTGTCGGAGTCGCTTTTGGCTTTGCCCACGATCCGGTGCATCCTCTCCTCGGAGTTCTGGAGCAGTTTCCTCCGGCGGATCTCGGCTCTGCGCTGCGCCGCGGACAGAGAGCTTCCCCCGGGCTGCTTCGGCTCCGGCTCCGCGGCGGGCTTCGGCCTCTCCTCCGCGGCCTCCACGGGCTCCATGGCGGCGATAGCGGCTGTGAGAAGCGCTGTACTCTGGTCTGACACACGGGGCCCTCGGGTTTGAGTGACGGAGCTCGGAGCGAAGAAAAACAAAAGGCTAAAGACGCGACAGCAACATAGAACTACACCACAAAACTACACGGACATGAATGAAGCGACTGAGTGAAGGAGGCGCGCACTGATGACGTAGGTTAAACTCCGCAGTGACAAAGCAGAAATGAATAAATAATAATTAATGAATATCACGGGAAACTATAGGAAATTAAATAATAAACACAAAATTAAAATAAAAAATGACACGAAAAAAGCGCAGGAAATTCATCCACTCAGTTGCATAATTCTCCTGTAGCATTGGGTGAGCAGCTTTTCAAAATGAAGAACTGGGACTTTCCTGGTTTTTGGTGTTGGTAATAATAAAATAGTCGAACAACTGTAAAATTAAGGAGAATTGTTATGCACTCAGCACTTATATATCTAGTCCTGGTTTAGCCCCGGCCTGGTACCAATACAGTCACATTTTCTTTGTTTTTTGGTCATTGTTTAGCAGCTTTTCAGTATTTTACAGAAACAAATGACCGTTTTTGTCTCTCTTTACTGTTGGCAGGGATCAGATTGGTGAAATATAGAGACACTTGGGACATTTCTTGTATAAAACTGGGACAAATCACTGGTTTTGGATAAATCTGCTGAGACAGGGGACACAAGGCTCAAAACTGGGACTGTCGGGGGGGGGGGAAACAGGGACATGTGCTCACACTGTTGTAGGAGTTGTCTTATTGCATTGCATGTAGTTATTTCCCACAGTTTGTGGAAATATATTTGAATCCATTTAGGAATACTGACATTCAAAGCTTTAAATCAAACATCAGTGATATTTCAACCCAAAATAAAAATAAATAAAGTTGTTCTAGGGTAGCCTAAATGATTATCAGTTCAAATTTAATTTCAACAATATAGTCTCATAATTACTTTGAACGTGTTTGTGCCTGGTTGGCTGAAAAACACCAGCATAAACATCAGGTTGCTTTACAAACAGGCCTGCACAAACTGATAAGACTAAAATCATGTGACCCGCAGCAGAGCACAAATGAAGTTTCTAGAAACGAGCACAAATACTGAAGACTATTTGATTTTAATGTCATTCTGTTTTAAGTTTTATTCATATTTATTTATTCATACTAGTTTTAAAAGACTCCTCAGCACTAATAGGTTACATCATAGTGAATAAGTAAAGTGAGTCTGGAAGTCTCGAGGGAGGAGTGAGGGGGCAGGAGGAGCAGGATCTGGCAGTATAAGGAACAGTGTGATTAGTCTAACAGTTATCCTCACATCAAACTGTTGTGTTTATAATCAGGACAGTTATGTGTGATGTCATGTACTACTGTCCTTGAAATGGCAGTGGTCACTGAAGACAGGACACGTAGATTTAATGTTTTTGACCAGAAAGGCTAAATTGACTCAGATTGTATTAAAATGGCCATAAATGACAGAACATAATGCTATTAAAACACCATATACAGTTTAGTAGTGATGAAATATGGATTTATTTCAATTTTAAAGGTTCTATATTGCGCAAAATGACTCTTGTGAGCTTCGAGCCATGTTATGTTGTTGTTAACTTCTCAAAACCAGACCTGGAGTTGTGTTTTGTTTCATTCACGTGTTTGCATAACCCTTTATTATGAGTGTCTACATCTCCAGAACTCAAAATGTTCTGTTTCACCTTGCGATGTCATGAAACTGTAGTTTTCAAAATAACAGCTCCTTTTACCTTTAGTTCAGTAGAGATAGGAAATTCCAGGGTTGAAATGACTGAAATGATTCTAATGAAGGCTTATGGAGTTTAAAAAACACAGTGGAGCACTTCCTCTTACCACATGACATGTTTTCTGTCTGAAACGAAACACAAATCCAGAATGTTTATGGTCAAGAAACAAGATTAAACTTTCAAATCATGGTTTGGTTTTCACACATTTTCATCCAAATAAATGAGACACAGAAAGAAACTCCGCAGTAAAAAGTCCCAAACATTTTATTTTAGCGTCATTTCACCTTAAGTTTATACTAAAATCATTATTACCTTTATATAACGCAGTCTGTTCAATGTACAAGTATCAATAAGCATGTTTAAAAGATCACAATGGCTTTGTTATGTCTGTGTTAGATTTCCCATATCCTATTATATTAAAATATTTCATATATAGAGACAGAGGCTTAATAATAATTATAATAAAAATAAAAAGTGAGTTCCCGTACAAGGCAATTAGAGCATTTAATCTGATCGGGAGTTTTAAATTAAACAATCGTCACAAAAGAAACAAAACTACAATTTCTGAAAGTCAACACTGCAAAAAACGATTGTGCACGTTAAAATGACTTGAATTTTAAAGATGCACTTTGTAACTTTACTGGAGAAGGAGCCGTTGCTTTGTTGTCTCCATGGTAATGTTACTGCTTTGCCTTGAATGTTATTGAATGTCCGCAATATGGCATTAAAATGTTAGCCGGTGAGTTACAGGTCTGATCTGTGGAGAGGAGACCCGCTCACGTTAAGAAAGCAAGTTTTTCCCCAAGGTAAAAATATAAGATGAATGAATAAACGCAGGATAGATATGTTTAACGCTCTACTGTGGAACATTCCAGACAACACAATAACATCTCCATGGAGACAAGCAGATGGCGAACACCTCATGATGAAAAGTTACATAGTGCATCTTTAATCTTGTTTTGATAGTAAGGTCAACACAAGTTTTCTGTATAAATCGATTTGCATTTTTAACTTATTTAAATCAAAACTGGTAGAAATTTGGGTTTAAAAAAAACAACATGAAGTGCAATTTTCTTAACCCTGCAAGTGGAACATTGTGATTGCAAAAGTAGTAGTCGCAGTTAAAGTATCACAAAACAAGTCTGAAATATTGGCCAAATGAATGAAGTTAATGCAGTTGTCAACACTACTCAAAACAAGATTTCTATATTGAATTTTAGCCATTTTAAACTGTGTAGAAATGTAGTTTTTTCAGTGAAAGGATGAAAAAAAAAACAGGACATTTTCAAATGGATATAACAAAACCTTTCTGCTCTTCCACGACCACCATGTCCTTCTGACTTCAGACAGTTCAACAATTTCAAAATAAACTAGAATTTTGTCGACACACAAATATAATGACTAGAATAAAAGCACACTTCTGTATGAACATGTGAAATGCATTTGTATGAGGTATTGCATTGGTTTAAGAGCATTTTGAACCAAATTACACCAAACAACACCAAAAGGACTGACCAAAGAATGGCGCTCCACAGTCCCACCCACTTTCAAGTTGGCTATGGTTTCCACAAGTCAATTTTCCATTCACTTTTCCCATTGACTAATATGAACTCAGAGACTAACCGGCTACGTGCTAACCAATAACAATATATGGGGATTTTTTTAAGTAAAAAAAAAAAACATGTTTAAAAAGCAAGATACTGTGAAATGTTTTAATAACTTAGCAGTTTCTAAAGTTTCAGAAACAGGTCTTTAGTTACCAGATAGTCCATGGGAAGTCTATGGGAAAAACGAATGGGAAACCAGAACCAGGGGGTGGGTCGTCACCGTTGAGCTCTATTAAGCGAGATTTTTACATAGCTAGGCCAGTAAAATGTGATTAAAAGATGCAATGTGTAACTTTTCTGGTGTTGCTTTGCCTAAAATGTTCCACAGTATGGCATTAAACTTTCCCAAGCAGGTGATGAAACTGGGTTAATTAAATGCCAGTTCTGTGGATAGTGGATCATTTGGTAAGAAAACCACCTGTAATTCAATAAATGCACAATCGATAAGTTTAAAGCCATAAAGCGGAACATTACAAGCAAGTAGAGGTCCCTCTGATAGAAAAGTTACACAACGGAACTTGAATATTTTGTCTGAAATTTGACCCATCGTTCACCAAAGCACTGTCCAGGATTTGAGCTCACAACCTTATCTTAATTCTTTGATTGGAAACACAGTCGGATCAGGATAACCGTTACTTCTAACTTAGAGATCGTGTTTCCTCTTTTCAAATATCACGTCTTTATTGCGATTTAATTTTAGACTTGTATTTTAAATTAGAAATAAAGTGGACGTGCCAACAAGGCTACCTCATACAAACACACAACAGTGAATAAACATTTAAATGCTCTACAGTGACACCCACTAACAGTCTCAAGAACAGGTCTTCAGGTAAAAACAGGGCTGTTCAGATACGCTTCAGTACTCAAGTTTGTCATTATTTAGAATTATGGGGCTCAGGTTGGATATGAGTTGCAAAAATGTATAAAGGTGAGATTTCAAAAAAAAAAAAATCTAATTGTAAGACACCAGACATTTTAATCAGTTTTGTAAGGCAAGTAAGAAATGTAATTACAAAGCATAAAATTAATTCAGAAAAAAATATGAATAATAATTTGACTGCTAATTATCATATTTAAGATGTTTGGTTGTTTTTGCGTCCTGATGTAGTTGTTGAGCTTTGACACAATTTGGCTCGTAAATACTCTGATTCGTCACTGTTTTTCTCTTTTGAAAATGTGTAACTTATTAACTGAATATTGCTTTAGTTTGGTTCCTTCATTTACCCTAGTCCTAACATGTCACAAAAATAACTGAATTAAAATAATTTCACAAATATTAAGTACTCCTTCGTCTCTTACAAGGTGATATCAGAACATCCCTATTTTTGAATCATGTTTAGTGAAGAAATAGCGATTTTAAACAGAAAAACATCAATCTCATGTATCTCTTCTTGCCTGGGGTCAGTTGCACAGCATTGTTCTATGAGAAAAACACTGATTCATTAGATCTATACGGACTTGGATCACCTTTGGGTTGCAGTTCGCCATCCGATGCTTTAGCTGGATACAAAAAGCGCCAGTAGCTTCATAAGTTTCATTGCTTCTCTCTGATTGGTCAGTCTGAAAAGTTAGATTAGAGTTTATTTTTGTCCGACATTCGCGCTCATTTACATAGATCTGCACACGCAGGGGAGGATAAAGGGGGAAAGGGGCAGGGCATCCGGTTTATTTGGAGATCTGTTGTTGCAGATGAAGCAGGAATTCGTAATAGGACAGCGCAGACTCCGTTCGGTCCTCGATCATGTTCTGCAAAAAGCTGGTCTTCATCTGGCTCTCGTCCCTGAAACAAAGAGGGAGATGTTAGTTAAAGTTCCTATGACACAAAATGGACTCTTGGGAGCTTTAAGCCATGTTATTATGTTTCCTCCTCAAAAACGTAACGGGAGTTGTGTTTTGTTTCATTTACACATGTTTGAGTAACCCTGCATTATTGGTTTGTTTACATCTCCAAAAACTGAAAATGCTCTACCTTGTGATGTTAAGAAGTGGTAGTTTTCAAGTGAAAAAATACCTTTAGCTTATGTTTAGCAGAGATTCCAGGTCTGAAATCATCCAAATGATTCTATTGAAGGTGTGTGGAGTTTATACCACAATGGAGCACTTCCTGTATCACCACATGACATCACAAGAAGTGTTTTCCTTTTGAGTGAAGAACTCCTCAACACCTAAATGTGCAGGATTGGTGTGTTAAGCGTGTGTGAATGAAACAAAACAAAACTCCCGTTCTGTTTTTGAGGAGGAAACAACATAATAACATGGCTTAAAGGAAACAATGTCATAACAGAACAGAAAATAATGTAATATGGTCCCTTTAAAGCTACAGTATGTAACTTTCTGGAGGTGGCAGGTCACCTGCATGATTGAGTAGAGGTAGATAGGTAGAGACGTTTTATAGCATACTGTGGAAGACAAAGGAACAACATTTTCATAGTAACAACATGTTGAGACACTCCTCCAGGCAAATAAGAGTCAGGTTTGTGGAGATGCAAGCTCGCTCACTGTAAGGACACATGTTTTGTTTTTCATTGTTATAAAAAGCACAAACATGAAAAAACACCTTTTCCCAAGTCTATCTTTTGGCTTGTTGAGGTCGAAACTACGATGGTCCTCACGGAGTCATAGCCTGATTCATCAGCCGGTTTCACTTTGTGGAAACTGTCTGACTTCACAGCATTAGGATTTGCTCACACGCTAGGCGGGTACTTCTTTTTTATTTAACCAATTGCTGTTATTTGGTCGTGACGCATGTAATGCCCCCGCTAATGGGGCTAACGGGTATATTAAGCTTTTCCCAAATCCCGTAGGAAGAAGGGCAATAACATGTTTCCCCTTGATAAAATTCACCAAACATTCTCTTTGTTCTGGCTTTAAATCCTCAATCTCGTGAATCGTTGCCAACACAAAATGTCTGTCTTCGTCTACATCCATCTCGACCCTTGTTTACTGTTGTGTTGTTCCACAAAAGGAACCCAGACACACAGCACGAGTTTGACGTCATGGCTTCACAGCTCACAGCTGATTGGACGGTGCGCAGTCTACAATTTCCAGGGTTCTTGCAAACCATTTAGTGTATTCTGATTCCTGACCTAGTCGCTGAAGAGAAATGAAATTGAGTGGAGGCACTAGGTGGCTCCAGCCTGGCAAACAGAGACGAGGACCATACGCAAAATATAGCAATAGCCATTCATAATGGAGACACAGGGACATTTAGCTCTGTGCAGAGGACATTATATTACACAAATAATCTTTCATTTAACTAATCTTGCTGACAGGAGTTTGAGACTCTCTTTATATATACACCCATGGACCACTATGGAACCGACCTGGATCACTGAGGATTACACACATATAAGACACATGGGAATAGAAAAGTACTACATTTAATGTTGAAAATCATTGTCTAAAAGTGTTTTTCATCATCATAATGTTATCACATTCAGTATTGAATATTTAGCCTATTCCTTAGTATCAAACTCAAGCTTGAAATGTTAGTATTGTGACAAAATTATTTTATAGTTTAATCTGTATCTCATTACCTGATGATGTGCAGCGTGGGAGCGAAGGGTCTCTGGTCCTTGAGCCACCCCACAAACACTCTCACTCTTTGGGACTCGGCTGTGTCCAGCTCTGGGAGGAGATACTGGGGACGAGACAAAGAATCAGGACAATCTGAACCAGTCTGAGACAAACCGCAGCAGTAAGGGCACTTAAGTGGACAAAGTGGAGTTTAGTACCAGGTTTTCAGGCACAGCGGCGTAGCTCGGCACGCCCAGGACTTGTGTGAGGAAGGCTGGGTTACAGTTTCGACCAATCCACAAATACATCACCTGCAGAAACAAGACAAAAACTAAATCAGAACGAGGTACAAACCATGAACTGGATATATGAATATGCACAGTCTGCTAGCCACATTCCAAATAAAAGGTGAGGATGGTGGATGGCGCCAAGTTGTTCCTTTGAGGTCTGGTCCCAACTCACTTTGTAGAGAAAAATGGTGACCCCCCCCACTTTCCCTAAATTGTCATTAGTCATTAAAATGTTTGTATTAACCCTCGCTACATGATCCTGGGGTTTTTATTTCACTATTTTGTTTGTAAATAAAGAATGGCTTCACTTGTGGCTGGAATGAGTGCCCCCAGCGCCCCACATGCTCGGGCCACGTACCGTCCCTGCGTCCATCAGGAAGGCCCCCTCCCTGCTCAGCTTCTCCACAGACAGCTGCAGGACCCTGGGCTGAGGGATCGTCCGGTCATTTATGTTCAACGCGCCCTGCACCAGACCAAATACACCAGTGAGATCAGCACATTTCAAGTGAGGTCACAACTTGAAAACATACAATATCAGCTGTGTTTTAGAAAATGGCTTTAGCTTGGAAAGAAGGGACCTTTTACAGCACTGTTTTATGCATTAGCACACCCTCTTCTGGCAGCAGTGGGAATGACAAATGACAAAATATTAAAAGCATATAACCTAAATATCTATGTGCTCATAAAGTCTTTCTGCACTGTTGTTCAAAATCTACTTTTATTTACCTTATTTTAATACATGCTCTCTTTACTTTTATCATAGTTTATATTATTATTATGATTATTATTATTTGTTTTATGTTGCATCAAAGTTCCCAGTTTGGAAGAATCAGAATATGTCATTGTTAATGAACAAATTTCACAGCTTTCGGACGTGTTGCAAGAGGAAAATCACAACAGTCTCATTTCTGGGGCTCAGTGCGAGAGCACCCAGAGAACAGGATGAATGAAATATTTGGTATGTTATGGATGGTCGTTCCCTCCTCACCTCGTCGGTGAGATCGTCCACTCTGTAGAGCGCAGGGTGGATCATTAACATGGCGTAGACCAGCGGCTGGTATTTAAGCTGACACATGGCAAACACGCGGTCATCCAGTCTGGTGCTCGTCCCCACTCTGAAGGCTTTCTGTAAAACACACAAACAATGCCATAGGTTTAAAGGAGCATTTTTTATACTCTAGTTTCCAATTTCTGTTTTGATCTTATAATATATAAGTTTAAAAAAAGTAACACGTAAAACTACATATACAAGTATTGCAATATTAACCAATGCATATGATACCAATGCACATGTGTTTTGTATGAAAATGTATTGAAAACCTTTGAACTCAAGCAAAAATGAAATATAAAAGCAGATAAACTAAAATATTAAACATATCTTTAAAAAGCAAAGTATTTTCAGCAGCATGAATGTCATTAGTCTTTGGGGACAGTCCAGTACCTGTTTGTGCAGTGCGAGCACATAAAGGGGGAAGAGTCTTAAACAGGCAGGGGCCAGGAGCCCGGGCTGTTGGATGGTCAGCACAGATTGTCTGTAACAGGACAGAGAGTCTATGGCTGCGTTGGTCAGAGCGTCTCTGGCATCACTCAGGCTGGCCGTCACTGAGCGGTCCACAGCTACAGACAGAGATAAGATGAGGAGGTTATAGAGGACAGGGCTGGGGACTGCTAAAAGAAGGTCCAACAAAAGTAAAAATGGCTTTCACTATTGATTATGAACAAAACAGACCTTTATTTAATCAGCCCCATTCAACACAAAAAATAGTCCACATGCTTTTACTGACTGAGAACTGACTGCACACTTCTCCATTAAAAAAACATGTTTTTCTGTTTTTCAGCACAATAAAACAACACATTGACCTTGAGACTTAAACTAAGTGCAGCTGCAGTACTCACCCATACAGGCCAGCAGTCCAGTGATGGCCTGAACATCGGCTCCAGCAAAAATATCCGACAGAGAATTCACCACCGGCAAACAGAGCGTGTGCACTCGGATCCTTCTCTCTCCTGCAGGGACAACAACATTTACAACCAGTACTCAAACATATACCAGCCATGAGGATCTCTAGATGAAGCTTTGTGCTATGAGCTGATTGGCTGTGAGGGCGGTGCATCTGCTTCACTTCTGTCTGAAAAAGCTGTTCTAAAGCTGTGCACATGTTTGAAAAGGGTTTGGGAAAGACCGGAACAAGTGAGGTACATTTAAATACATACTTCATTCTTTCAGTTTAAAAATCTCGTACCTCAAATTTAAATATTTGTATCATTTTCCTACACATGTGAATTGGTGTTTCACATTTTTTACTTAAGGGTACACTGTAACTTTTGGTTTGGGGTCAGGCCTATCCTGTACCTTTGCTGGAGGTGTAGAGCAGCGCGGCCTGGAAGGACACCACCTGCAGGTCGTCCAGGTTTTCGTCGATGGACATCTGAACTGCAAATCCTGCATCTGGGTTCACGTTGGGAAGCGAGAGCAGGTCTGTGGAGCGCACGAAGAAGTTTCCGTGGAACGTGTGGATCGACAGGCCTGAGGAGAGACAACATTTACATTTTAAGAGTGTAAAATCCAGTAAAAAATGAATATTATCAGAACTTTGTACAGTATATTTTTTAAAACAGGAACAAGAAAAACTGAAAATCTAACAAACATAAAAATTGTAAGGCTGTAGTCAACTTAATACATGTCCTGCTGATCGATAAGTCAGAGTTAATGCAAAAACAACAACAAACTATTCATGAAGAAAAAATTGATTTATATAAAGACTGATTCATGAGTTTAATCTGCGTTTTTACAAAGAGAACCAAAAAAGACCAAATTTTCAGCTCACTCACTCCCTCTGCTCAGACTGACCTTTAGTGCAGCGTATCCTCATAACAGCTTCGAAGCCGATCTTTCGTGTTAAATATCTCTTAAGGTCCTTCTGGAAGCGTTCGACCTGAGCGACGTTGTGCTGCTGATGGTACGAAGGGTAATAATACACAGAGCCTGCAGAGTACCTGGAGATGCAGCCTTCAGGACACAGGACACAGGAGAGAGGTTTAACACTAGAGCCATCTCTATGTGGCACAGACCAAAAAGTATGTGACAACGTGTCAGTTACCGAGGGAAGCCAGGTCGCAGTACTGAGCGCTGAGCAGGAACAGGTCCACTGCCACCTGCTGGCCAGAACAGTCCAGAGCCAGTTTCTTATAAAAGTCTGTGGCTGGAGACAAGTGCTGCACGTCCTGGTGAAGAAAACAAACACACTTCAGATACAAACTAAACTCCCACAGTCAGATGGGTGTGACTGAAAGGTGGATTAGCCAATCACAGAAATGCAGGATTTTATTTGGCTCTCCAAGAGAATAAGTGAAGCAGTAATGCAGTAAATCTGAGGTAAGAGAAGGTTTGAGTTCTAAAAGTGTTCAAGTAAAAGTGTAAAAATAGAAGTGCACCTTGTAAACAACTACAGGGGCATTATAGTTTGAAAGATGACTGAAATCTGAACTGCTAACTAACTAACATATACAAGAATCCAATGTATTTTCAGTTTGTTTAAAAGAAGTCTAAACCATAGGTACAAGATTTTTCAAAATACAGGATGTAATTCTTTGCAGAGGACATTCTGTTATCAATAATTGTGCCAACTCAAATAAATAACTGAGGGTAGTTTTATTCCAGAATAAAAAGATTGAATTACAGATAGCCTGTATCACTGCTGTCTCAACAGACATAGATCTAAACCAAGAGAAATCCAGGTTAACATTCTGCATAACCCTTTGCTGTAAATCCACACTTGTACCTTTGCAGCAGCCCTCTGGTTGGGGTCTTCTCTGGACTGCAGTGCTCCAGCCCCGAGGTTTGGAAGCTGGGTCTGAAACACAGACATGCGCCCCCCAGTGGGCGACAGCAGCTTGAAGGCGGCCTGCAGCGCGGAGCCCAGAGCAGACTGAGTCTCCATAGTCTTCTCAAACAGAGTGGGCAGACTCTTCAACAGGTCCTGAACCAACTGGACATGTGGAGGAGGGACAATATTCATGAGCATTACACTTCTCTTCAATGGTATTCAATGCTAACACATAACATGTTCAGATCACCATGTTACCTTTTACAGTTCAGACAGAGCAGTGCACCTGTATATACTATGCTTGTAAATGTCTGGATCCAAGTTAAATTATCGCACAAAAAGTGAAAGGACAGAAAATATCATTGTTGATTACAGATTACACAAGCAACGTTTTTGTCATTTTAGTTTTTGGTTTTATGAGTGCCCTGACTGTTTATATAATGTTAAAGTTTCTAAGGTTGATGTACTTGACATTTTAGTAACTGCTACCATAACAGACCTGTTGCAGAAATGTACTGCTGTGTATAATCAAAGTCCAAAGTCACTATTAATTAAAAAACATCTTACCTCTTTGCTCTCATTAAGGTTTACTAGAAGGCTGTCTGGTGTTGGTAAAAATATATCTGTACAAAACAAGAGTACAGTAGTTATAATCTTGTCCCATTACAAACATACTGATCTAAAGTACGTGTACCAGTGATGTCTTACCTTCTATATCTGACACTATAAGCATCTGTGGCTGTGAGAGACCCTCCTGGAGGTTATAGAAGTGAATGGTGCTGTCGAATGTGATGAAGCCCACTTTAGTCCGGGAGTCTCCGGGAAGTCTGCGAACAAACACCAGCAATGACATTAAGAGATGAGGTCACAGCTGGAATTCTAGCTTTAAGTAGAGTTCACAATAGTGTCACATCATTCTAAACTGTCCAGAGTTTAGACTGAGCTGGAGGAAGAGAATTCTATGGTGGAATTTGCTTTTTTAAATGCAGTGGTCGTGATTTGGCTTCATTGACTCTGAATTCGATTTCTCCTGAAAAATTGTGGTCCTTCTCCCTCCGACTGCTGCTGGTCATTTTGAATTTATTTATGTTCATGTGAACCTGCTCTACATTGTTGCTGGGTGTTTGTTTCACTATTTTCTCCCCAAATTAAGATATGAACATTAAAGAGCCCATATTACACTTTTATAATGTTGTTTCCTCATCACAAACCTAGAGTTGTGTTTTATTTCATTCACACATTTACCAGTGGTGTGGTATGGAGCTCGGCTCCACATTAGCTGCTGTGTGTATATGTGTGTATGTATATATATATATATATATCCTGGAAAGTAAAGGCATCAGTGGTGCCTGTGGTGATCGGAGCACTCGGGGCTGTAACCCCCAAACTGGAAGAGTGGCTTCAACAGATACCGGGAAAAACAATGGACATCTCAGTCCAGAAAAGTGCAGTACTGGGAACAGCAAAGATACTGCGCAGAACTCTCAAGCTCCCAGGCCTCTGGTAGAGGACCCGAGCTCAATGAGGGTGAGAGAGACCTACCACCGTGGAAGGTGAGAAACACATTTTTTTTAATTTATTTATTTTTTATATATATATACATACATATATATATATATATATACATACATATATATATATACATACATACATATATATATATATATATATATACATACATACATACATATATATATATATATATATATATATATATATATATATATATATATATATATATATATATACACATATATATATATATATAACTGCCTCAGTCCTATATACAGTCTATGATGAAGCCCAATGTTAAGTTCTATTTAAATAATAAAAGTAAATACGTACGAGTTTAAGTTGTCGAGCAGTGACTGACAGAAGACATGCAGGTATCCCGTTTCCATGGCGTTATGAGACACGTCCAGAACAAACAGGTACACGGCCGGCTGAGGAGGTCTCAACTGACAATGAAAAACAGAGGGACAGAAGTGATGATGTGGCTCTTGATGTAATGTTAGCATGTTAGCTTCTGTTACTATGAACAGGCTTCAGTTGGTTAGTTTGTTTTATTTTGGGGTTTTTTGTTGAGAAAAGGCTTGTGGGTGGCAAGTTAGTTTTTAAACTTACTTCTCCTAACATGTTTGTTACCCCAAAGCATTTTCCTTAACCATTCTCCTCATCTTAAGATAATCTTGTTCCTAAATTTAACCAAACCCACACCTTAAATAATGCACCTAAATTGCATAACCTCAAATGACCAATTACATCAGATTGCCCCAACCCGACATTCTAGAATTAACCCAAGAAAAAATATTAGTAGCAATTAAAAAAAAAAAAAAAAAAAAAGTCAAAATCTCTACATTTCCACATTCACTGAGTCATTTTGATGTGAGAAATGTTTTGTCTTAGGCCTAGAACCTCTTCTCTGTGCTCATAGCAAAAGCAAAAAGTTTTTTTGGTTGTTGTTTTTGAATAGTACCATATATTCTGAAGGTGCAATGAACTCGATGGTGGCGTTCTGAACCTCTGGTCTCTTATGGGGCTCTCCGTATGCTCTGCTCACCGGGTTATACATGAACTCCTCTGGAACTGGAACAGAAAAGAACAATTACAAAGGCTTTAACTTTACAAAACAAGACTCCAGATATGTTTTTGCCGAGGAGACGGCATTATAACAGATCAAAAAATAGTGTGATATGTGCCCTTTAAGAATTGTTTTCATGTTTGGGTTTAGTACTCAAGACCTCAGGATGAGCAAACTTGACCTCTTGAAAAAGACCTGATTTCAGTCTTACTTATTTTCTATTCCACCATTCAAATAGCACTTTCCATTTAGCTGCAATTAACTCTTTTTGAGCTAGTAAAATGCATTGTGTTTTAAACTACTTGACACCTTTGATTTAATCAAGATAAAGCAATATTTTAATCAGACTTACATAACAGGGACACAAACCGAACAAGTGCAAACCTGTCACAAACTTAATAAACAGGTGTCGCTGCTACGGTTTTGCCACTGGCTTCAAATTAGGGCTTTATATTTTGCATTTGTCAAATACAGTACATGCAAAGCCCCCAGTCAGGCTTTGACAGAAAATGCGGCATAATTACATAACACTGATTGGTAGACTATTTTAATAATGTCATCTTTTCATCATAAAACTCTAGGCCGCACTGTGGTGCCCCATTTGAGTCCTTTAGCAGAGGCAGCTAGAGCAGTCAAAACTTATGCTCAATTTCAACATGACTTGAAATTAATACTCAAGTACAAGTACAGAGTAACTTAAAGACCAACTTAAAGAATAACTTAAAAGAGTAACTTAAGAGGATAACCAAGTACTAGTCATATTCGTCCTTTAGTCAGGTGATCGGTCTGAATAAAATATCGGTGAATACTAGGGCTGAAAATATGAATATCGGCTTAAAGGAACTGTAGGCAAGATATTGTTTTTAAATTCCATTGATCATAGTGTCTCCAGATATGAGGCACAAATCAGATCAAATCAAATAAATCCTTCAAATGCTTCAAATCAAATATATCCTTATCCAATTTACTCTTAGTTACAAAAGTATTGGACATGACAGTCAATTTGTTTATGTTATAATTTGATGTTTTGGTTCTCAACACGAGCCTCACATGAGTCTCTTATGGGTTGCCAGTTTCAAAGCTGAAATCCAGTGTGTTTAAACCTAAAATGTCTCTTTGATCTGAATAGTCTACCTAAACCCCAGCACCTGCACCAGTTATGAGTCAGTGCTAGTGCAGCCTCTGCAGCTCAGGGAGAGAATTCTAGAGGTTCGGAGCTTTTACATGAGGCCTGGTCTGTCCATATACAGAGAATGAGACAAACTTGTACATGTCCTGCATGTGCCTGCAGGTTAAGGTGTAATTGCAGTACATTTAAACATCAGAGCACAGGATACATACAGGTCCATATATTGGTCATACAGATCATACACAGGTAGATGTTCCTCACCTTCGTTGACTCTGTAGCACAGGTTACACTTCCAGCGCCTCTGGTCCAAAAACGACACAAAAGGATTGATGTACGTCCGACACGAGCGACAGCGCACGATCGTACTGGACGTCACCACCGGGAGCTGCTGCACAAAGCACCAAAAAAAACATGGGTCATTATCTTAAAGGTGCACTATGGAGCTTTTTGATGGATGTTCTGTCACCTGCTTCTATTCATTGAGATGTTATTCCTGTACCTGGAATTTTACACAATGTAGCATTAAACCTAAACAGGTGATGCCACAAAGTCAAGTTACAGGTGAAATGTGACCAGTAGCGACCCTGCTCACAATAAATATGCATGTTTTCCAAGTTTGTAACAATAAAATACCTGAAATTTAATGGTCATCGTTGCCATGGTCATGGTTGGCTGCTCTTGTGGCTGACTGGCTGACACACTGAGCAGTTTTTAAACTTTTAAACATTTTGACCTTAACTTAATATTTTGGGATTTTGGCCAATTAAGAAGCACATCATGTGCTGTTCTGAATGATTGATTATTGGATTGTGTGATTTGAGCAGTTTGTTTTTCCTGTATCCATGGCAACTCTACATGTAGACAGCTATCCTAGCCAGCTAGCTCTGAAATGCTACTTTTTACACCACCAGGCTTTCTACACCAAATGTGTCAGAAGACGTTCCAGAGGAAACACTCAGAGACTGTCCCATCTCATCACCGACCGAAACAACCGAGCAGATAGAGGCTTATGAGAGGATTTCCTGGACACTGGATCTGATGACTCTGAGCTCAGACTGTTGAGCTGCACTCAGACTGTTAAGCTTACGTTTGCACTTTCTATTATTATTGTATTTTACAGCTCAGTGTGTTTAAATTGCCCCTCAGGGACAAATAAACTGATATTGATTGATTAAAGCGAAATAAGTTTAATGCCATACTGTGGAACATTCCAGGCTAGCAACATCTTCACATAGTAAGAAGGTATAAACCAAACTAGGGGTGTCAAATTATCACGTTAATTGCGATTAATTAATTACAGTCATATTTAGCGCGTTATGTTTTTTAATCGCGTTAATCTCATTTTTAATCTCTAACTTTACTGTTTCTGTATGTGAGTTCCTTTATTATAAAATCTGTTTTTATGTGTTGTTGGGACAACACACACACACAAAAAAACACATTTATAATTTTTTTTTATTTCAGTAATTCCACTCATTGCCGGAAACCCACACAAAACGCACGCAGTAAGAGCGATGTAAACGTCATGTACACGTTGGCGGCGTCAGTCACACAATGGACGAGGTGGAAGAGCCAGTAGAACAGAGGCAGCAGTGCTCAGGTAAAAACACATTCGTGTCTTGGAAATTCTTCTCCCGACGTGAAATATAAAAGAAAATAACAAATATAAAATCGCCTACAACTTAAATGTCACTGGTGAAAACAACCTGCATAGACTCATGATGTCTGCACTACTGTCCTATAGTGACCTGCCACATGAGGGGACACGCACACAAACACACACACAAACACACACAAACACAAACAAACACACACAAACACAAACAAACACAACACACACCTTCATCATCGTCATCGATCTGAGAGCACGTGGACCACGTTTCCTTCCGTAGTTACTGCGCAGACACCACTGTCCTCCCGTGTGCCGCGTACGTTTTCTCGCGTACGCTGCATAAACCTCCTGTGCGCCTCTAAACCAGAACTAACACCAAGACTAAAACCGGGACTAACCCAGTCCAGGACTAAACCAGGACTAAACCAGGTCTAAACCAGAACTAAAACTAGAATTAAATCAGGTCTAAACCAGGACTAACACCAGGACTAAAACTAGGACTAACCCATTCCAGGACTAAACTAGGACTAAATTAGGACTTAAAGCAGGTCTAAATCAGGACTAAAACCAGGACTAAAAAAGTGATCTCATATATAAAGCAAAGACTGGACTTTTTATTGTCTTTAAGTAGACAAAAGTTATTATGTTCAGATTTCCTCGTCTTTGCTACTTTACAGCAAACAGTTTCTTATTCATGGAGACTTGGGCTCAACAGCCAATTTGAAGAGAACAAACAAGAACAACGTTTGCAGGATGCGGTTGCTACATTCATGTACTTTTAAAAAGCATGACAATATCAAGTAATCCAAAGTATTCAAATTACGTTATTCACTTTAAGTAATTAAATGGATTCCGTTACAAACTACATTTTGGGATACGTAATCTATAATCTGTAGGGGAATACATTTTAAAAGTAACCTTCCCAACACTGCAGATTAGTAATAGTAATAATAATGATGATACTGTGGAATGTGACTGCATGTGTTAAAGTTTGTTAAACAATAAATGACTTTATAAAGTCACTTTTTTTTGTTCTATATCAGTCTTTTGATCTGCCACAATAATGTAATAATGAATTTAAATGAAAATAAATACCTCAAATTGAAGGCTTTTCTCAGCTATTTTTAGGTGAAATTAAAAAGAGATTAATTAGATTAATTAATTACAGATCATAATTAATTAATCTCTCAATTTTTTTTATTACATGACAGCACTAAACGAAACATAAGAAAATCTAAATGGGGTAAAAGTTATTTGTTATTAAACTTTGTAGGATGTAACAACAGGATTATCACATCATATTTTATACCTCACTTTATGTACTTTGTTTACCATTTAAAAAATTCAAACAGGTTTTCTAATTTTTTCTCATTTAAAATGTTGTTTAAGGTAAATATAGACAGACACACAACAGCTTTAACAGTTCACATCTGTTCAAAGTTCCTCCTCACTTACCTTATGCATTCAGAGCATTCTAATTATTCACTGTGATGAGTCTATAAGCACTTTTCACAACTTTCAGAGGGAGTTTTGCTGTCAAAGTGAAGCCAACAACTAGCATGCTAAAACACACTTCCTCATTCTTGCACAATGAAATGCTTTATAATTAGATGCAGACAGCACACAGCAGACTTATTTTGACCTCAAGGGCTGCTTATACAATATCTCTGTGCTGGAGCAAGACACATTTTGCCTTTAAAGTGTGGATGACAGATTTTCTTTGTTTTTTTTAAATTCCATTCTCTAAATGAACTCCAGGCAAAGGGATTACATCTCCATAGAGACAAGCCTTCTACTAGAAAAGTTACAAGTGCAGCTTTAAACCTGTCCTTTGGGGTGATGGGGGTACATACCGAGAGGTCTTTGAATGGGTGCAGCAGCAGGCCAAGGGGCAGCTTGGCTTTGTTGAGGAGAGACTGGGTTTGAGGGATACTGGTCAGTGTACAACGGAAAACTCTGAAACACAAACACATACATACTGTATACATTTACTCCAAGTGCATATGACAGGTTTTCATGTTTTTTCCAATTCTGACTTGGTTTCGTTTGGTTAGAAGTACTTGTGATAAATATTTATCATAGTTTTATGTCAGTGGTAGTTTGTGGAAAAAAACTAAAAAGTAAAGTACAAAAATACAGAAATTAGCACTGAGTTCTAAAACAGAATCCCTCTACTTATGTCATCAACCCCAAATAGTCCATCTAAAACGCAGGGACAATCAAATCATTGTGTAATTTAGACAAAGATGTTTGGAGTTTAGACGTTTTGGTCCTTGTGAACATTCTAGTTGCTAGGTAACAATTATGGAATCACCTACTATGTCATATCTAACCAGGAAGTACAATTTTAAACTTCATCACAATTAAAAGAATAAAAACAAGGCATTTTCCTAATACGTTAGATTGGTATGTATTCTTATTTGTGTCGTATCTTGACAGTTTGGGCTTCAGTTTGCCTCTTCCTCTTCACCATCACATGATGTTGCTGTGATGTGTGTGGTCAGCTCATTTAAATAGATTTTGCTGTTTTACTGCTCCAAGTTGAAAGACCACACCAACATCTGTTTAAATCAGCTGATCACACACGGCACAGCAACATCACATGACACTAAAGAGGAAGGAACCGAGTGCAGCCCAAACACTCAAGGTATGAATCTAATAAAGGTCTGTACACAGGAATCATTATAAACACAGAAGACCTAATGAACCAAATCAGACGAGGCCAAGGGCTGAAACATGGCAATTTTGTTTAAAAAAATAAAAATAAAAAAAATAAATCACTAGTGCAGCAAGAAATTGTTTTCTTGAAATGAGCAGTGGAACATGTCATATACCCAGGATGCGACAGTTGCTTGGACAGTGGAGTGGTGAATATAATACTACCATGACTGTATGGATATATTAATATACTGCAGGTTAGTGACAGGGACTGACTCTGGGTTGCAGTTGACCCTCTGCAGGTCTTGGGTCAGACAGGGCGTTGGTGGGGTGAGGGGTCCAGGGGGCAGCAGGTTTCTCTCCTGGAGAAGGTTTACGACTCTCAGAGCCTCGGGGGTCCCAGACTGAAGACTCAAGGAAGCCAGAGAGGGGCTGAGCTGGGCCGGGCCAGGCTAAGGGAGAGCAGAGATCACAGGTCAATTTAAAACAGGACATTAGGTTATACAATTAAACACATTTGGATGGAGACTGAGATTCAGTTGTCTCTAATCATTTTGAACCTCTACTGAGTTCCTGCACACTAAGACAAAGATTTGCCTTGAGATGGTGTATGGTTCTCAGCCATCTCAGAAGATTTCCCACATACCTGTATGTCTGATATTGAAAACTTGATGTTTTTCTCTGCACTGCTCCAGTCTGTGTGTCAGTCCCATTTTGTCCTCAGAGCATTTTTTAACTTTTCCAACAGATATTTGCAGATACTGATATTAAGCTTTTCAATTCTTTAATACAGGCCAAATATATTTTATCAGCCACAACACCAAGACAAATATTGGACACCGGTATTGGCTCAAAAAAAAGCATTAGAAATTAAATTGCAATAGTGGTAATGTTTATGTCTTTTTGGGTGCCACTGTTCTGTTAAATAATTTTGTGAAATAGTTCATTCAAACAGAGCCTTTTTTCAAGATACATCTGGTCGCAGGCTTTGAGTATTAAGACCTTTTTTTTTTTTTTTTTTTTTTAACTAAGCTCCGGAGTTGTCACCTTGGCTCCCTTACACCAGCTTTTTAGTACCGGTCTTAACATGAAAAAAGATTGGGGACTGCTGTATTAGAAAACCGTTATATTTACACAAGTAAAGAAGATAAAAACAGCAGCAGCAGTAGTTTAAGAAGTTTATAATCCAGATTTTATTTGAGGTGATAAAGGGCCCATATCACACCACTTTTCTGATCTCTGTTATATTATCTCCTCATCACAAACAGACCTGGAGTTGTGTTTTGTTTCATTCATACGTGTCTATCACAGCTCCACATTGTTTTTAAACTCCATTCACCTTCACTTCAGTCATTTAGATCATTTCAGCTTTGGAACGGTCAATCTCTACTGAACTAAATGTAAAAGGCTTAACTTGAAAATTACCACCTAGTGGTAATTTTCAAGTTAAGCCTTTTACATTTAGTTCAGTAGAGATTGACCGTTCCAAAGCTGAAGGTGGAGCAGAGCGTTTTGAGATTTGGAGATGTAGACAGACTAATAATAAAGAGTTACTCAAACATGTGTGACTGAAACAAAACACAACTGCAGTTATGTTTTTGATGAGGAAACAACATTCTAACATGGCTTAAAGCTCCTAAGAGTCATTTTTATGTACAAGAGGACCTTTAATCACTTCAGTCCTGTAGAGTAGAGTAGTGTCTGACCTGCTGGTAGGGCTGCTGTTTGAGCGGGTAAGGCTGACCGGCGTGCCCAGGTGGAGAGCTTTGGTACCCTGGCGGGAGAGACGGGTAGTGCCCCAAGTGTCGTCCTGGAGGGCCTGGCTGAGGAACGCCGCCTGCAGGGAGGAAGAACAAGCACTGCACTTAAATTTATGATTTGTGTTTTGATAACAGCACCCAGCCTTCACAATTTAACACAAAAAAATTTAAATCTGAACTGAAAAACTAGTACAAGAATCACATTTCAGAACATGTTTGTCCAGATCTAAACTACCGGGTTTCGTAGCTTTTATGCAGAATAAGACAAGAGATTTTGTGGTTTGTGGAGGAAATTCTGATTCTGATTGTGATTAATCTTGCAGTGTGCTTGGAGACTAATAAATGCAACATATTTAGACATTTAACTTTAGGTCTGTAAGAAGAACTGGAAACAAAACGCAAAAGTCACAATTAGCTAATGACAAACCGTGAAACCTATAAGGCAATGAAATGTTCAAATGATGCTGCCTTATATTGTGAAAAGATTTGTGATTTATGTTCTTCATGTTCATCAAGGTTTCACAGAGCACATTCTAAAATATATTTAATACAGCAGAATAACAGGAAGGGCATCTGACAAACAGGGACATTTCAGAACATGTTTGTAGAGGTCTAAATTACAGGGTTACCAGCTTTTTACAAACCATGAAACCAGGATTCTTTGTCTAGTTTAAAAGTTCAGATTTTGGTCTTCTCTCAAAAGTTAAGGCTCCTTGACATGTTTAAGAAGTGAACTGAGCAAATTGAATGTAGATTTGCTAAATACAATTATTAAATCTAAAATAGGGAGAACTTGCAATTGGGGCATTTTAATATTCAAAAACATCAAAGTCCTCTGATGAACCATAAGCGCAACCGATGTACAAAATGATTCATGCCAATCCACATTGCTAATACAGACTCACCTGGTTTGTTCTCCATGTGATTGTAGCTGTTGGGAGCCTGAGGGCCATTTCCAGCCATTGTTCCTGTGTCAGAGAAAACATTTGAACGCATTTAGTGATTATTAAAAGTTCCAACATGGTTTTAATGGAAAAACAACCACAGAGTTCAAATGAAAACAAGAGGAGGGAGTGTCACAGTATTTCACACAGACAATGGTCAAATGAAAGAGGATGATGACAAAATAGGATGTTGAACAATACTTAGCTACACTGAGGGCATTCCAGACACCAAAACACTACAAATCAATTCTACCCATATAGTACTCATAGTGATTCATTTAAAGTGACAGTGTGTAACTTTCTGGAGGAACAAAGTCAACTGCATGATTCAAAGAGATATGTTTTATGTCATACTTGACAACAGGGGTCTCCAACCTTTTGCCTCTGGTGAGCAACCTTTACAAAACCAAAATTGAGTTGCTATAGGAGGACAAAGCCTTAGATGATGTACAGTTAGATGCCTATAAAACATAAAACCACTATCCATTTATTAGAGCACCAAGTTCAAAATAAAACATTTACAATGGTAAGTAATCAAATCTGAGTAGAGTACAGTATATGTATAAAACCCTTGGTGAGCTAGTTGTAATGGGGTGGAGAGCTATTGGTAGCTCCCAAGCCAGAGGTTGGAGACCCCCGCTTTAGAAGATTATAGCCAAAAAACAACATTTCCATGAAAACATGCAGGTGAGGCGCTCCTCCAGGCAAAATAAGAGTCAGGTTTGTGGAGATACAAAGCCGCTCCAAGCAAGAATGCTGGTTTCCAATGCAATAAAACATCCATTATAAAAATATATATATATATTTATTTTACTGTTTTTTGGTAGCAAAACGTTACATATTGTGGCTTTAAGATATATCAGACGTTTTGTGTGTACATTTTGTAGATTCAGAATTGTCTAGAATAATGTTGTTGTCATTTTAATTGATAGTGGTATCTGGACATCCCTGGACATTACATAATTGGAGAAGTTTATTTGGCAATTCATTTTGAAATTCAAAATACAAACATAATCACTGGTTTGCATAATTCATGTTGGGACTACAAGAGAGTCAGCAGGTTTTACACAGAATAAGAGCCCATGGAGAAAATTGCAACCAAATAGTCAGTCCTACAATACACAAGTAAATGCACTGATCTATAAATAGATTCACAGATCAAAGTTTTTGCCAAATAAACTTTCTGAGAATTTGTAAAAGATGTCGTTCTATACACACATGTGGAGATGAGCTGAGGAGAAGAAAAGTGATGCTGAATGAATGGATAAATAAACACAAATGAGGACAAGAGTAGACTATTCAGAATACACTGTCAGGGATGCACTGATGGAGTTTTGTTCTAATGTGAAGTATCATGTGTCACAGCTCAGAAGCTTTCACCACAGTTGTTTACATGAACACGGAGCGAAAGGCAGAGCACGGCAATCTGGAAATTATGGAACTATAAAACAAAAGAGGAAAACGGGAAGGGCTGGGCAATTAATTGAAAGATCAACAGTGACTGTAAATCAGCCATGTCTACTCATCAGTAATGTGGCTGGAGTTATTGAATCATGAGGTCTACAGGCAGCCCTTTGTCAGTAAAAGCATGTGGATTGGAGCAGAAGAAGAAATATCACAGTCTTTTTCGTTAAATGACAGAGCAGTGCCTCTAGTTAGCAAAAGTTGATGACATGAGCTGCAAAATAACAATGCCGTTTAAGTTCCTGAAATCAATACTAATAGTAACTGTTCTAGTGCAGCGACTGAATCATATTCTAGTCTGTTTTAAATGGACTAACTATGCATGTGGTAGGGATGTACAACCCGATTTCAATCAAGATGGAGATTCAGTCAGGTCTAATTGTCAATGTGGTCATGGGTCAGTCTCTGCTTCTGTCCCAGAATCATAGCATAAGTTATTTTAGGTTATGCTATAGGGTGGTCCTTATTTATGAACTTTTAAAATCATATGGTCTGACCTTCCCAAAATGCTCCAATTGAGGAGAAATTGTGGTCTTTAAAGTTTTATGAAAATACATCATATTTAAAAGTAACTCAAACGCCCTGAAGTTTTTGCAACTAATTTCTGCATCTTTGTGTCCTTGGGAAAGACACTTAACCCACCTCGCCCCCAGTGTCTGCATTCACTGGTGTGTGAATGGGTGAGTGGTTTCTTGAAGGTGGAAAATCGCAGTATAAAAATGTGACCATTTACCATGAGTCTGTCCATGTAATAAGTGCCATTAACACTGACATTCAACAGGCTGGTTCTGCAGCGATGCCACTGACACGAGTCTGGAGGGAGTACAGTGGAAGCATGGACCATTGGTGGGCCCAGCATGGCTGAATCAGGCTTTCAAGAGTCTCTCAGACAAACTCTTCAGAGTCTGGACTGAACTTTGCAGATGTTCAGTGGCCACATTTACATTATGTTTTTAGCATAATGTCTCAGCACAAAAACTAGCATCAATAAAATATTTTTCTGTCAGTCAATATCATGTTTTCTTTCATAAGACATGCATGTGCTTGTAGAGTGAACACAAGATTATGTTGCAAAAATGTGACTCTATGTGTCTCTTTATTGTGTTTCCTTCAGGACTTTAGCAGTAGTGAGGAGGACCACCAAGACAAAAACTTCAAGGTCTTTGAGCTACCTTTAAATATGCATGGATTTTTGTGAAACTTTGCAACCCCCTTTTTTATTAAATGCTAAATATTTAGAGAATTTTTTTATCTTTTATTTTTTTCCCATTGGATAAGGCTCACCCTATTGGTAGTGTTGTAATTATGGAGACTTTCTGACCTCAAAGCTATAGGGGCACACTACTATCTGAGGGTGCTCTAGACTAGTGTGCAGTCAGTGCATCCCTGATTGGGACAATAGGGGAGAGGAGGGAGCAGAGGTTGGCAGTATGGGGCAGTATGGAGCAGAGGGGCAGACCTGGGCACTCCACGTCTCCCTCCTCAGACTCAGAGGGGGGAGCAGTGTGGTTGACCCCGTCCCACTGAGCTGCATGGATAAGAGAAAACAGGTTAGAACAGGAGCGACCACTGGCTTAGAGAGACAGGGAGTTTTTCAAGGTATTATTATACAAAATATTACAACAACCAACTTCAGACCAAGAAAAATCAGGACAGTCAAAGATTTTCATGTATTTTTTTGATCGAAGGAACAGTATGCAAGTTTTTTTGTCATGTATTTGAGCAAAGCATATCTTGCCCCAGTACAGATGCACTGTTCCAATCAAATAAAATTAAAATATAAATTAAACGCTCATGTGAGGAATATCTTTGGACCAGTGCAAACCGTTTAAAGCTAGTTTGTTTGTTCACACTTAAAAAAAAAAAAAAAAATCAGGTAGAGTGTCTTTAAATTAACACTGAGGTCCAGTTCTAACTTGAAGACCACAAATGTCCCAGAAGTCTTACCGTCAGCCTTTGGAGGGGGAGGGGTGGCATTGCCCATGGGGGGTCCTGTGGGAGGAGGAGTGGGCTTCATTGAGGGCGGGTGACCCATGGGTGGAGGGGGTCCCATGGGTGGTGGGGGTCCCGTGGGTGCAGCTCCAGAGGGAAGGGCGCCATAAGGAGGTCTGCCCGGCTGGTACGTGTGTGGGGCCATGGGGGTGACGGGTGGAGGAGCTATACCTGCAGAAAGAAACGAAAGTGAAAATGAACCCCATTTCTGATTCACCCATGAACCTACCTGCACCAGTGAGGATTACACACACATAATACACATGGGAATAGAAAACATTTTCTACCATTTAATGTGGAAAAATCACATTCTATTGTCTAAAGACATCAACAGTTTATTGGAATTGGCATTGAGTATGGAGCCTATTCCTCCAATCAAAATACAGTTTGAAATGTCTGAAAATATCACTGTTAACTGAAAATGTCCTGTCATTGCATCAGATAAACCCAAACATGATCTGATCTTAAATAGAAGCTTGAACTTTGCCCAAACGCAGAGAGTGACCAGAGGGCAAAGTGCAGCGCCAACGTATCAGACGAGATAGAGACACGTCTAATCTATTCACATGTGACACAGAGGACCAGGACTATATACGGACTAAACCAGGATCTAAACAAGAACTAAACCAGGACTAAACCAAATCTAATCTACTCACATGTGACGGAGTGGACCTGGACTAGGGCTGGGTATCAATTAAGAAGTTGTTGATACAATACATACCTCGATACACAGGCCGTGATACGATACATATCTCGATACAATGCACTTCGATTCAATATGATATATTTCAAATCGATTCGATACGGTTCAATAATGGCTGTGATACTAAAAGTCTTTGTTAAACCTCTTCTTGTGCAAAGTTCATATGAAAGACAAACATTTTAATCATCAAAACATTGAAAATGTCAAATGTGTTGCATAAACGAGTTTCCTTCCACTGTCAATATATCTTGGCAATATATCGATACAGCAGCCCACGATATCAATACTGTATCATAACATGAAATTACATGATATATCGATATTTCAATATTTTTGCACACCCATAACTAGGATTATATAAGGACTAAACCAAGACTAAACCAGATCTAAACCAGGTCTAATCTACTCACTTGTGACAGAGTTGAAGAAGCCAGAACCAAACCAAGTTACCAGACTACACCAGGTCCTAAACTAGAACTAAACCCGGTCTATACATTTACAGGAGGATTATCTCCAGTCCCAAACAGTAGCACACCTTCTTGTCCACATGAAAAGGTCATAGATTTAACTGAAATATTCCACAGTACAGTGTTAATCTTCTCTATAACCATGAAGACAAGTAAGGGATGCCATCTGACCAAGTTACAGTTCAGGTCTGTGAATAGAGGACTCTGCTCATATTAAGAACACATGTTTTGAATCAGGCACGTGGGCATCAGGACTCTTTTTGGAGCTCATACCTGGCTGGCTGTACGCGTGCAGAGAGGTAGGGGGCAGCGCTGGTCCCGGGGGCATGGTGGCAGTGTTCGTCGGGGGAGGGGCGCTGTAGGCAGAGGTGGGCGGAGCCATAGACATTGGCGGAGGCATGTGATTGGTCGCTGCCTGTTGTCCGTGGGGCGGGGTCATAGGTGCCGGCGGGTTGGTGGGCGCTGCGTTGTACTGCCAGGGCTGTCCCATAGAGGGCGTCTGGTGCGGGCTGGCGTAGTACCCGCTTGAGGAGACGGGGGGCGGCGGAGGTGTGCTCTGAGCCGAGGGCATTCTGGGCACCGGGCTGGCAGAGAGGGGAGGGGTGTGGGGCAAAGAGCCTCCTCTCAGGGGCGGGTGGGGCATAAGGGGTTGGTATGAGGAGACAGGAGGGTGGGTCTGGGTGGGGTGAGTTTGGGCAGGGTGGCTCTGGTAGGGGGCAGCCGGGGCAGACGTGGGGTACAGTCCAGGGCCCATAGGTGCTTTGGCCTGCAGTTGGTTGTAGTTCTGAAGCTGAGCCATGCCATAATTCACCCCGGGCAGCTGCTGGAGGTTCTGAGAGGGACCTAAACACAAAGGAAACAGGAAATGAACAATGTTGGTACTGGTTTTCAGATTCTAAGATGTGAAGATATGATACTCACAGATGGGAGCAAGAGTTTTTCCTGTTCATAACTAAACCAATACAGCATTTGGCCCATGTTTGCATTTTACTGCACATGTCTATCAGCCTTAAAGGTGCTATATGACACAAAATATAATCTTCTGAGCTTTAAGTCATGTCACAATGCTATTACCTCATCAAAATCATTCCCAAAGTTGTGTTTCGTTTCATTCAAACATGTTTGAGTAACTCTTTATTATTAGTCTGTCTACATCTCCAAAGCGCAAAATGCTCTGTTCCACCTTGTGATGTCATGCAGTGGTAGTTTTCAAGCTATCCTTCGTCTTTAGTTCAATAGAGATTGGCAATTCCAGGTCTGAAATCAAATGATTCTAGTGAAGGTGTAAGGACGTTAAAAACACAGTGGAGCACGTCCTATATTGCCACATGACATCACAAGGTGGAACAGAGTCAGGGCTGGAGATCATTCAGAAGTTGCCGATACGACACATATCTCGATAGATAGGCCATGATACAATAAGTATTCTGATACAGTGAACTTTCAGTTCAGGATGATAAACCACTTAAACCACTTCTACAACCACTTCTGTGCAAAGTTCATATGAAACACGTCATTTTAATCCATGAAACAGTGAAAATATCAAATGTGTTGCATGAACAAGGAAGTTTCCTCTGAACAAGCAAGACAATTATGCTGCTGTAACAACATTTTGTAAAATATATCAAAAAATACTCTTGGCAACATATCGATACAGCAGGTTCATTCTGTTATGTATTTGTTGCAGCTCAGGCCTTTTTATGATACTGTCCATTTACTGGGATTATCTTGCATTATTATTAATGCAATAATTGTGTCAGTGACATACAATAGTCTCAGTATTATCCTTGAGCACAATATTTCTCTCTAGTACACATCAGGCTTCAAAATGTGCTATCGTCTCACATATCGTCCAAATATTGTCACACCTTATTGGCCATTGGTTCCTCTGGATTCTAAATAATCAGTATGAGCATCGGCCATGAAAAAGAACATACTGGTCGACCTCTACTGCATGATTACTGATGATGTACTTTCTGTTGAATTCTCCTAAAGGTAAATTCATAATTGTTGAACCTGCTCATTTTAATAAAACCCTAGAACAGAAGCTCCTCTGCAAAGAACAAATGAACCTGTATTTTGAGAGAGATATCTAGTCCCTGTAATCACACCTCTACAAACATGTCATGATATGCGTGGGATTATACGTGTATTGATACGTTGATATGTCATCAATTATTCCTGGGGATGTGAAGCTAACTGAAAGCACTGCTTTGTTACCCAAACTAGACTTTCAGCTGAGCTTTATTTTAACATGGCTAGACCAGAAAAAGATGACTTGGTTGGAACTAGAACAGGTGATCTGATCTGTGCTGTTAAACAAGACTTTCACAGATAAAATGACAGCCACAAGTAAGCTCGCATTAGCCAACAGATTTTCAGTTAATCGCCCTCACCTTTTTGTTGAAACTATGGGTAATTTGTTTCATTAGATTTTGAATTTTAAATACACCTGAATTTCTTGCTTTGAATTTTTCAACTCTGAAAAAACATTTGACTTATTTTTATTCTGAATTTTAGTTATTGAAATTTTAATTGTACTTTTTCAAAGTGTTTAAAATTCACTATTAAAATAATCACCTGTTAAATAATCAGCACAAATATTTTTAAGCCCTCAAATTCAACAGTCAAAATTTAGAGCAGAATAAAATTTGCAGTTAAAAAAGATTGCATCAAAGATTCAAGATGCCAGAGCCTGAGGAATCCACCCGTGACCCGCCCGTGCCCGTGAGAAATGACCCACAGGTTAAAAGCATTCTCACTGAAGCATCCATCAGAATATGAATTGAAAAGTTATGACTTCAAGAATTATAATCACAAAATGAAATGAAACTGTTAGACTTTTTTCAGTACAAATATGAATTCACAGACATGACCTGAGGTTTAGTCCTGCCCAGGACTAACCTCAGGACTAACCTCAGGACTAACCCAGGACTAACCCAGGACTAACCCAGGACTAACCCAGGACTAACCCAGGACTAACCCAGGACTGATTCCAGGAGGACTTAACCAGGACTGAACTAGAACTAAACCAGGACTAAACCAGTACTCACTGTCAAGAGGACCCGGAGGTGTGCCTGCTTAGACCGTTGGGTGACCGGAGAGAAAGGACCGGCGCAGAGCTCCGCGCTGCACAGAGGTAAGCGCAGTCGTCGCCCAGTCGCACTTTGCGGACACTCTGCTTCGCTCGCTTAGGGTTTTATCTCTCACTTATGTCCAAGATTAGTCCTGGTATAGTCCTGACTTAGTCCTGACCCGCCCGTGTGTAATTACTACCCACCTGCATACCCGCCCGTAAAATTCCAGAATGTTAAAACCCGCCCATATCAGTAAGTATTTGCCCGTACCCGCTGGGTACTCTGGAACCCTCTCAGAGTCATGTAAAGTATCAATAGATTTATCAGTGCAGATTTCAGTCTTCTCTCAAAACTTTATGCTCCTGGAGCTGTTCACAAGGAGCACTCTGAAAATTAAAAACATCACAAATCTCAAGTCAGCATCAAGCACAGACTCTTTTCTGTTGTCGGGTCAATGAGCAAGACACTTTGTCCACATTATGAAGGCTCTCTCCCCCTGTGACTGCTCTGAATAAGTGAGTTTTGTAAAAAAAAAAAAAAAAATGTTCTTGAAACACAGTGCGACAATAAAAGTATCTGGCTTGTTCAGTGTCTGTGTCAAAGCCTGACATTTGGTTCAGTTTAGAAAGATAAAATAAAGACGAAAGCCGGTGAAAACTGCAGGTTTTTAGAGCCTTACCTTGAAACAAAATGTCTTTCCTCGTTTTATTGAGAGACCTCTGAACTCAATCCAGTCAAAAGCTCCAGAAAGTTCTGGCCCATGTGTGTTATAACTCACACTTGCAAATCCTAAAGAACATTTAACAACAAAGTTTGCAAAGTGTTTTGATAAACAAAGCTAATGCCACAAGCCCTGACGCTAAAGGAGACGAGGTTCTATTATCAAGTAATAAACAAAAGAGCAGCATTTGACATTTTCTAAATAATAAACAAAACACATGATTCTTAAAAGGTTTAGTAATAGAAATTGGACCAGAGACTTCTATAATAATAATAATAATAATAACAATAATAATACATTTATATAGCACTTTTCATGGTAAAACAAAGACGCTTCACAATAAAGTAACACTAAAACAACAACTTCTGTGTTGAAAATGTTGAACTTTAGATAATAATAGTAGGATTCTGTTCAATCACAATTGCAATGTTTGCAACAAAAACTACAGTAAGATATTTTTCCAAAATTATTCTAACAGCTCTAAACACAAATTAGCATGGAGATATGGGCAGGGATAAGGGGTAGGTGAAAACTAAAATTTTTTATGTATTCAAGTCTCAAATGCAGCACAGTTATGATTATCCAAACACTCAGGAATCAAACTAAATATAATTAAGTAAGATAATTACAGCTAAAAGTTCATAAAAGTTGATTTTGTGGAATATTTCCCCTTTAAGGGAAACATCTGGTCAAACATTTAAGCAAAATTAAACTGAAATTCTAGTAAATGAAATCACTAAAATCCAAACAGTGTAAAAACACACATTTAGCCAAGACTTGTGTGCCTTGATAATCTGTTAAAAAGGATTTATCAAGGTATAGTCTGCACCTTCAGAAAGTGGGACTCATAGCCGGCCTTTTGGAGGAAAAAAGGAGCAATACGGAAATTTTTGAAGGTACTGGTCTGAGACAGTAGGATTTATACTCCTCTGAGTTAACCAAGTGTAGTCAAAGGGAGTATGAGTGAAACTGCCCAGCCCGTGGTTAATAGCTATAATCATTTTGGGTCGTTATGTCCCTATTGTATACTCTCTGTGTCACCTCCAGCATTGTTAATAATCCTCGTGCTTCAAACCAGATGAAACTTTTAAAATGGCGTCTGGAAAGGAGCGTCTTCAAAATAAATGACCACTGCTGAAACCTTCTCTAGACTGAACCACACCTGGACCAATAAAGGAACACACATCTACTATTTATTTCACTATGTGTGTTTTTACTGCTCAAAAATACCTGAATCCATTCTTTCCACAGATCTGGCCTGTAACTTGGCCTGATGGTGTCATCTGCTTATCTCCATGGTGATAGCTCAGGTTAATGTCATACATGTAACAAGTGTATTTTTCTTGTCAGACGTAGAAAAAAAATATCACCAAATACTGCATTTTCAAAGTCATTGAGGTGTGCGTGCATATGCATGCATGTGCGTGCATATGCGTGCATGTGCGTGCATGTGCGTGCATGTGCGTGCGTGCGTGTGTGCGTGCATGCCTGAGTGTGTGCGTGTGTGCATCCATGTGTCACTGCTGGTCTCTGAGAGTAAAAGTTGTGTTTTGGGGCACAGTTCACACTTTTTTGTATTTAAATTGAGATCAGCTAATAAATTTATTTCATGACTGATGCCGTTTAGAATCCAGAACAGTAATATTAAAACATTTGTTTTAACCTATGGTAATATATAGTTATGTATAATGAAACCAGATGAGAAGAGAATATAAGAGGCAGGACAGATTCAATAGGCCACAATAGATTATTAGGCAGATGTAAATGATTTATTACAAGATGTAACAAAATATATATTATTTGATGGATTTTTTTTTTTTTAATGGGCTATTTTTGTTTTTGTTTTGGCAGTTCTGAAGATCACATTGGGCAATTTTTTATCATGCACCTGTCAACACTGACTGCAGTGTTCAAAATGGCTCTTTAAGTCTGTTATTGACACCGTTTCACTGTTTGATTTTCTAACTCTCTGTGGGTTAAATCAATGATTTTGTTAAGCCCTGAGAGACAACTGTTTCTGTTGTTTCTGTCTGTCTGAAATAAAG